TAGATTATGTAAGCGTATCTCTGCTAGTTAAGAAGCTATAAGCCAAAACGTAAAAAAGCATACCCTACCCATCCGCCAGCCTAGTATATACTTAACCTTAATTCGCGAGGATTTGCGCCCCAGCTATGTGAGGTGGCAGATATAGCTAATAAGATACTTAGTGTGCGTAGTGAAGAGCCTGTTAGCAAACTATAGGCTAGCAGGCTTATGACGCGTTCAGACAAGCTTAAAATGGCCTTTAATTAAGCTAAGGATAGGTAGAGGATACTACAGGAAGATCCTAAAATAATTAGCGCATAGTTTAAGCTAGTAGAGGATACTTAAGTTAAGTATAGTGTTTGCAATAACAACATGCATAACTTTAATAAAACTAGGTTCTAGATAGGCGTTGCTTTGTCTTTAAAGGTTGTAACAGGCTTAGAGAGACGTGCTTAGCCAGAGCTTGTTCAGCCAGGTGATCGCGAGTGGGTTACCGTTATCCAGAGCATCTGCGCTGCTAGGTATGCAACCCTACCTTTCATCATCTACAAAGGACGCATCTACATCTCTGCCTAGTATAAGGAGACAGATATACCCTATAATTAGAAGCTCTTAGTCTCTAAGAATAGTTAGACAAATAACACACTTAGCCTTAAGTAGTTAAAGCACTTTAACATGTATATAAAGATATGTTAGGTAGGAGTGTATAGGTTGCTTATCTTAGACAGCTATAAGAGCTATCTTAACTAGGAGTTTAAGGACTATTACCTAGAGAACTAAATCCTTACTCTCTATATACTACCTTACTTATTATATATCCTCTAGCTACTTAATATAGTCTATTTCTTGCTATTAAAGCATAAGTACTCCTAATATGTTTAAGACTTAGCACACTAACACATCTTCTATATTAATAAGGAAGGCTTCCTACTAGCCTTTAGGGACATATTCCTTAATATATTTATAAAGGTTAACTACTAAAAGGCCTTTAAGGTATTAGGGCTTATTCCTACTAATATATAGGTAGTGTTAGATTGCCTTAAAGTGCAGCTGCATACCCTACTAGTAGTACCTCTACCTAAAATACTGTAGCAATCTAAGACGCTAAGCAATACACACAAGTTTAGGTCTTAATCTAAGCTTGTAAGTAACTCCTTCTAACAATTACTAAGTGTAGTATAAGAGGGGTTCTTAAAGCTTGTAAAAGGGGCTAAAGAGATACTGCATAAAAATGTCCTTATTAAGGCCTGCGTGCAAGAGCTTGAAGAGCAATTAGCAGTAATAACTAAGAGAAAATCGCGTAAGAGAAAGCAGATTCAGCATAGTGGCACACTTGAGTATGGCCCAGCAGCATTGCGGGTAGCTGCTGAGGCGTGTGTAGCAGCTCAGCCATCTAAGAAGACTTAGGGTAGAGGTGGTTAACTAGGAGCTTAGTTAACTGTTCAGCGCTGTAGGAACTGCAGCAAAACTAGACACAACGCACAAACGTGCTAGGAGGGTATAGAAACATCTTCTAAATCTAATATAAGCATACAGTATACTAGGTCACTATTTAATAGTAAGTAATTGTAGTTGCAGTAACTTGTGTTAGTTGTGCTAAGAGAAAATGGCCAGTTCGGTGATATGGCCGGCTTGGTGATAATCTACGTTACTTGTAATGGTCTAGACTCTAAAGCTAAAGAAGAGCTAGAGCTAGCCGGTTACATTAGCTTAGCCGGCTTGGCTTAAGCTGGATATATATTATCTACGCAGTTAACTAGACGTCTAGTTAACTTGTGCATGCTTTTTAGCAAAAGTTGTTAGGAAGTAGATATCCTTTATTGGCCTTTGGCCAGACTACTACACTTCAAACCCACTGTTTCCGCAGCTAGCAGCAGCATAGAGCTCGCCAGGTGGGCCGCCGCCGCCTCTATAGACTATATTGGCGTGCCAGGACAGCTAACACACTGTGCTAGATATGTTATTAATCTCACCTTCTCTAATGTCCTGTTCGCTCAGTTTGCTGTAGATGCTAGCATACACAGCAGGTTAGACTATAAGACAATTGTAACCTCTGTCACTACTTCCACACCTAGTACTCTACACCTAGACTAGTATTACTACAGAGTCCTAGAGGCAAGCCTACTAAAGTTCACTAGGCTAGTGGAAATAGGCGCTTAGAGCATTCCAGATCCGCGTGCAGCACAGGATGCAGCAGAACTAGACAACTATGTCGCGCTGCTGACAGAGACTGTGCAGCACTCTATACAAACAGCAGGCAAGCTTAACCACAAGGAAGGACGCGCTGCGCTGTAGTAGACTAAGGAGTGAAAGACTGCTTATTAAGCCTACAAGCGCGCTTAGCAAACCTGCCTAGGTAGACCTCTCCTTAAAGAAACACAAGCCTTTAAGAGTACAGTTTAATAGGCTAAAAGGTAGTACTAGAGGCATATTATTAATAGTGCTAAGGATAACAAGGACCTATTTAAGGTTATTGCCTAGCATAAGCTTACACTAGAGAACTAGGACACTCCTCTTATTATAGACAACAGGACAATATCTAACCCCCTAGAGAAGGCTAAGGCACTTAGACAGGAAGTCCTTAATTAGTACACAGCAGATAACAATCTTAGCCACCACCCAGATCAGGAGACTGCGGCCCCTCTCCTGTAGAGCACGCACATCTCACTAGAGGAGTCAGAGCGAAACACAATAGGGGTCACCAGCACCTCCCCAGGCACTAACTGCTCTACAGTGCGACTGCTCTGCGCCTGCTAGGCCTAGGCTAGAGAACTTATACAACAGATCTTTTAGTGGTGCCTTAAACTAAACTACTTTCCTGCACAATAGAAGCTGGCAGAAGTAGCTATAATACCTAAGGTAGGAAAGACAGATTAGACATCACCCTAATTATAGAGGCCTATAGCACTCCTCTCCTGCATTAGAAAGGGGCTTAAACAAACAGTGGCTAGGAAAATTACATAGACTGCTATAACCTACAAAATCCTTAGCCCTTAGTATAAAGGCACCCTCCTAAAGTAATTAGTAGTAGATCTTACTGCAGCGTTCACTCACAGCACAGAAGCTGCGTGGGCAAAAGGCTAGCATGTTATAATAGTTACCTTAGATATGCAAGGCGCCTTTAACACTCTTCTTAAGAATTACCTGCTTTACTAGATAGCCTAATAGGGATAGCTATAAAGGACTATCCTCTTTATTAACTCTTTCCTAACTAATTAAAGGATTTTAGTCTGCCTAGGTTAAGTCACTACCCCTAGCTACCTAGTTGCCTGCAGCACGCTGCAGGGCTTACTACTCTCCCTAGTCCTGTACACACTGTATCTAGCAGAGCTGCTGTCTATAGACACAAAGAAGAGATTTAGATACGCAGATAACATATGCTTATACTAAGCCTTACACTCCCTAGATAAGAATATTAAGCTCCTAGCAGCAGACCTACAATAGATTAGAGTATAGGGCACAGCTAATAAGGTCACCTTTGCGCTAGAAAAATAAGAAATAATCTACCTTACCTAACAAAAGAGAAGCTATGCGCCACCCTATGTGGTAGATAAGCAGCTTATAGTTAATCTAATCTTACTAAGCAGGTAAAGAACCTAGCCAGCCCTCTAATAGCTAGGGATCTAGTTTAACTACAAGCTTACCTTTAAGCAGCATGTAGCTACGCACAACGCAAAGGCGGCCAAGGTAGCCTATCATATCTGCAGCCTAGCAAACTTAGCACACAGACCACTAGCCAGCTCTCTCTACAAGGCTACTATAGCCTGCGTATACCTGTCTCTTCTGTATAGGGCTGAGTGCTGGTACAGAGGCTAAACTAAACCTCCACGCACACTCAAACCTAGCAGACTAGCACAAGTTAGCACCTATGTTAGGTGGCACATAGCTGTTATAGACAAAACACTAGCAATAGCAGCAAGAGGCATCCTCCTAGTGTGGCGAACAACCCCTACTGCTACTCTCTTCTAAGACGCTGGACTACCTTCAGCTGCTACTGCGCTAGAAGAAGCTAAACTCTGTTTTGCAACCTATCTACGCACTATAGATGTAGAACACCCACTAGCCAGCCACACAGTAGCTGTAAGGATGAGCATAGGCTAGACAGCTAGAAAGCTGCAACAAATGCAGACTAAAGTCTAGTATCTAGGATCTCTTCTACCTAAGATACCTAGGACAATACTAATATTCTCTTACTACTTACCTAGCTGCTAAACAGACCTAATGCTTAGTATAGATAAAAAGACAGCAGCTAAGGTGTTTAAAGAATAGTAGGCTTAGCTCCTACTATTAGATATTGCTATCTTCTTAGATAGCTCTAAATAGTACACAAAAGAAGGAGAAAAGTAGGTTGCCTATAGCTTTGCAGTGTATTAGGGCAGAAAAAAACTGCAGACTAGATGTAGATTACTCTACCCTACCTTACACGTCTTTAACGCAGAAGTAGTAGGAGTATAGAGGGGCCTCTAGCACACTATAAGACAACTAGCCCTTAACACTTGCTAAATCTAGCTATGTATAGACAGCACCTCAGTTATATAGTGCCTAAAGGGCAGCGCATCCCCTACCTCTTAATAGGCCTTCTTAGAGTGCTATAGTGCTATAGAGACACACAACGTCTCTGTCAAATAGGCCCCTAGACATCTAGGCATTAAAGGAAACAAAGCGGCTAATAGGCTAGCAAACCTAGAAGCCTACTACCTATTACTCCCTACTAGAAAGGCTGCTGTTCCTACACTAGCAGGCATTAAATCTATTGCTTGCAAAACATTACACAACACATAGCAGACCTAGTAGTCTAAGAAGAAAGAAAGCCTCTCTACATAGTATAGAAGATAGGAGCTAGGCTACTTACTTTACAGCAGACTACGTGAATTAGACCTACTAAGAGCTACCCTAGCTAGACTGCTCTTAATTTAATCTATGCACAGTAACTTTGTATAGTATAACTAAAAGTTTAGCTACAACAACACAATACTTACCTATTTATACAGACGTAACAAGACACTAGAGCACCTTACGCTCTGCTGTAAGACCCTAGGAGCCTTCAGCTAATAGCTACTTCAACTACCTATACCACTATCTAGCTAGAATAATGGCCTAGCGTATACTGCTGCGCTAATTAGGGATCTAGAGGCTTTTAAAGCCTTTATCTAACTTACACAGTACTACAATAAGGTCTGCCCCTAGTAGCTTACCCTGTGCTGTAACAGTAGCAAACAACTATACTCTCTCCTTACTCTCCTTCCTACTCTTCCTCTCTCCCACTTCTCTAGCAATTAACTGCCTCTAAAAACACACAAGGGATCTACCCTAATGTACACACATAGCTTAGTCTCCCTAACTAGACAGGGAGCTGTAGTTCTAAAATAGTAGTAATACCTGTGTAGGCAAGAAATACTTTCTAACGTAGTGGCAGCACTGTAATTCTATAGCTTAGCACGTTGTATATGCCCTGCAGGAGGCGAGATAATGGACTTCATCCTCATCAACTAGACGTAAAATGAATACCAACCAACCAACCCCTTTAGCCCAACGCTATCCTCAAACGCTTCGCCAGCAATACCCCTGAGGCCTCTGATAGCAACAGCAGCTCTTCTTCAGTCTACTCTGGCGAGGATTGGCTCAAAATTGAGACTCTGCTGCGCAGGGTTGTGAAGGAAGAGGGCAGTAAGGAGAGTAAAAAGCTCCGCCGATCACTCCACCACATCTCAGTTCAAAACCAGCTACTCCACCATGAGATAGATGGGCTCAAACAGGTTCTTAGGACTCAGAAGAAGCACAAGAAGAAGAGCAAGGCTCTTGACCTACAGCATGATCAAGAGTATCACGGTGGCGCTGTATTCTGGTCTCCTCGCAAAGTAGAGGAAGCTCGCTCACGTGAGCAAGAAAGACAGGAGCAGGAGAAGGCAGAAGAGCTTAAAAAAGCAGAGATGGCTGAATTAAGTCACGCTAATAAGCTATATCAAGAGAAGATTGCAGAGGAGAAGCGTGAGCAGCGAGCAAGGGAGAAGGCAGTGAGAGACCAGGCCAAGGCTGAGGAGCGAGCAGCCATCGATGCGCGCAAGGCTGAAAGAGCACGTAAGAAGCAAGAGAACAGCGCTGCAAAAGCTCTCAAATTATCCCTAAAAGGCAGTAAGCCAGCCTCAAAATCTTCTACAGTTAAACAGAAGCCTGCGCGCTGAGGTGTGGGTGCCCGTAGTCACCCAAAGCCTGCAACGCCTCCTCCTGCGCGCTTAACTGTTACTACACGCAGCGGCCGCACCGCCACAAAATACCATTAAATTTGTATGAGTAGCTTTTTCGCACAGGTCTATAGATCAATACTCTACAAAATCTCATGATATTATTCATTATTGGTGGCTCTACAGCCTCATTTTTGCAGGTGCCTGTTTTGGTGGTTCGGCGCATTGTCTGAATCCGCGCATTGAGTGCACGGACACGGTAGTGGTTTCGGGAAATCTTGCCGTTCCTACTTCGTACAGCTGTCACCATGCTGTCATCGGTCCGATTCGTGACACCCGCACACGACGTACTTGCAGCTGGAACGCATCATCTGCCATGCCTAAGCGACTCAAGACTTATGATCCATCGTTATTGCTCCAGCCTTGTCGTGTTTTGTCTCTCCCAAGGCAGTCGCGCAACGCTACTCAGTGACCGACAATGACGTGCCCATGATATGTACGCCGCGGAAGTAGTTCACGCAGCCAAACAGGCTGTAGATTGTGTGAAAGAGCTATTACTATTGCCCTGGGCCATTGAACTTCGTCACCCTTCTATATTGCTACTAAAATCAATTGATTTAGCTCCCGTGGAAACTCTGATCACAGGTGGCATCACCCACGGCTGAGACAACATGCAAGCACGACAGGAGCCCGTTCTCATCGACGAATTCGAAGTGGGACTCGATCGAGCAAAGATCACAGAGTCTGCGCAGATTCAAATTCCAGAATCACACAATACAGAACAAAGCGCAAATATTGACGCAGAGCCCGACAGTCCACGCTCTTCCACTCACAATGTCAAGGAGTCCATCAAGCTGAAGAAGCACAAAGCCGGTGTTAAGATCAGGAAAACGCTTCATATTGGAAGGGCTTCTGATGATTTCGATCTAACTACAACAGCAATCGCTGGGGGGAACGAGGAGCCCTCGGGTTCACGGTATGCGACCGATCCCCCAGAGCCTGACAAGGCAACGTTCAAAGACTTCGTCAACAACCCTGTCGACACCGTCAAGGCCAAAGTGTCAGAGCATAGTAACCAGCAGGTTGCAGGACAAATCTCAGCAAAGGAGGTTCCTCATGGCAATGAGGTTGACCTTCTACATGCTTCAGAGGCAGTCGAGGATGCAAAGACCGATGCACAGCGGCTGCTCGCGATTCAAGACCTCTCCAAATTGATGAAGGGGCGTCAAGCTACCTATGCACGGTGGACACTTGACCGTCATGTTACAAAGGTCAGGCTTCTGCCGCGCGAACAGATCCATCTGAAGCCAAGGTCTGCCTTTGAGAAGTACAACCCCCAGGAAGGCCTGGTCATCGATTGGAAGGCATATGGGCAGCATGTAAGTTACCAATCTTGCATTGAACATCTTGGCCATTATCTGACGAGTGACAGCTGCTCATGTACTACGCGCAACAATACGGGGGGCAGTATGTCGGATATGGCTCCGATCCACCAGCACCGTCAAAGCAGACTTTTGTGCCAAACATCGAGCGTTTTTTGATCGCTTCCTCACCACTCCAGGAGCTCATCATGACATCACGTAGAGTCTACCGCTGGGAACACCCTCCGACGACGACCAAATACCTAGCGATATACTCCGTGCTATGGTATTTCAACTCGCTTCTCCCAGGCTGTGTAAGCTCTGTATACTTCATTTCACCCATCAAGCACTTGCTGACATGAACCAGCTTGCCGCGTTCATCTACCTGGTCATCGAGCGCCGAGCCCATGGTAACACCATGCAAGACTTGCGTGAAGACATTGAACACCGAGAGAACCAACGCGTAACCGCTTTGTCGCTAACAGAGCTGATCGTGAAAGAAGGCGACGAGAACTGGTCTGACGATCTTCTTGAACGCCTTGGCCCGTGGGTCATGGTCCAGCTCGCAGATTTAGCCAACTTCTTCGAGAGCATGCGCAAGTAAGTGCCATGCAAATCCGTTGTGGCGGTGAAATTATTGACATGTGCAAAGTTTCTACGAATGGCGCGTGCCTCATCGAACAGCACGTAGTCTGATCGTTCTCGGCCTCGTTACGCTGTTCACCGCTCTAATACCGATGTGGCTGCTCATCAAGACTATGACCTTCACCATGGGTGTTACGTACTTCGCGCTCTACCCGGTCGCTGTAAACTTCCCGGAGTACAGGCTTCTCGTATCTCCCACCAAGCGTCTGCTATGGAACATCCCAACACACGGTAAGTTGCATCCCGACTCGATGTAGAATGTTGCTAACCACACGCAGCGGAGTGGGCAATCAAATACATACAGGCCGAAGGAACCCGTCTCGCACAAACATCCAAACCTATAGCGCCGACACTCGCAACGTTGTCTCCTACATTCGATTCTGCCTACGACTACAACAGCTACACTGCGCATCAAGACAAGACTACTGGCCGTCTCATCGTTGGTGCTGGAGGAGTTCGATTCGTTTCGAATATGGGACACAATGTTTTGTGGTCCATCAAATATGAGGAGCTAGAGAAGTTTGAGAAACAAGATCGCGTTGTCCAGAAGAACATTCCAAGCAAACTACAGCGGGACTCTGGCCAAGATTTGAAATTCGGCAGCAGAGATGGCAGGGAATTTTTACTCAAGCAGGTTGACAAGCGCGATGAGGCATTTTCTCAAGTCATTGGGTTCTCAAACATCCCGTGGCAGGTCGTTTGGTAAGCCTGAGTATTATCTTCCGCTGCGGCACGACGGAATAAGACTGTTCCTTAAAGATCCCCACTTCACTCTTAGCGTACCCCACTCCTTGCATCCTTCTACTACACTATCTCCGATATCGTTGGCCAGCCGCAATGGTCCCTGTCAAGCACCGATAAGACTTGCGCCGGATGCTTGGTCATGCCAGGCTGGCACATATTTAAGTGCAACGGGCCTTCCTGTATGCCGATCTGCCAGCGCGACATAGTGCTTCGTCAAGCTCTAGCGAAAGATGAAGATCGCCATGCCTGGACACGAAGCAGTCCAGGAGACTGACCAACATGGAGACGACATGGAGAAGCGCGTGCTGCGCAAGATCGACTGGCGACTCATCCCGCTTATGTTCATCACATACAACCTGAACTTCATGGACAAAACAATCTTGTCTTCAGCCTCAGTGTTTGGTCTGCGAGAGGACACAGTGAGCTCGATTGCTGTTGTTGTTACCTTTGCTGATTTTGCCTTGCTGACGATGACAGCATCTGAAAGGCCAACAATACTCTTGGGTCTCCAGTGTCTTTTACTTCGGTTACTTCTTCTGGGAATACCCTACGACCTTCCTGATCACGCGCCTTCCTGTATCAAAGTACCTTGCAGCCAACACATTCATTTGGGGAATGGTCGTCGCCCTTACTGCAGTCTGCAGCAACTATGGTGGCTTAGTCACTGTGCGTTTTCTGCTCGGTGTTGCAGAAGCGACGACCACACCGGCTTTTCTCTTCATCACGAGTACCTGGTAAGCTTAAAGATGGTAATCATATCATGAGAGGGGGTATCTCATGCTGATGATGCATAGGTATACTCGAGATGAAATCCCCAAACGCACAGGTCTATGGTTCGCCGGCAATTCTGTCGGCGGTCTCGTCGCATCCTTCCTCGCATACGGCCTAGGCCATATTGAGGGCTCAATTCCGGCTTGGAAATGGATGTACATCATTCTCGGGGCACTAACATTCCTCTGGGGTATTCCAATGCTTCTATTCTTACCAGATACCATTGCGGAAGCCAAATTCCTGACCGAGGAAGAGCGTGAGGTTGCATTACGCCGTGTAGTTCTTGCAGGTACCGGAATAACCGACAACACCAAGTGGAAGCTTCGCCAGGCGCTCGAATGCCTTCGCGATCCCAAGACGTGGATCATTTTCAGCATGAGTTTGCTTACTCAGATACCTAACGGCGGGACCCAGAACTTCGGCAATATAGTTCTTAAGAGCTTTGGATTTACGAGCCTTCAATCGACCCTCCTCGTGATCCCCGCCTCCGTCATCGCAGCCAGCACAATCGCCGGCACGGGCTACCTCGCCGGTCGTTTCCGGCAGATGAACTGCATGTTGATCATATGCGTAGTAATACCCGCCATTGTCGGTAGTTCACTCATCTACGTACGCCCAAAGACCTCTTCTGGCGTCCAGCTCTTCGGTTACTTCCTACTGTCCACCGGCCCGGGCGCAATACCACTGCTCATGTCCCTCGTAGGCGCAAACTACAAGGGCGTGACTAAGAAAATGACAATGACTGCGCTACTCTTTATTGCGTACTGTGTGGGAAACATTGCTGGGCCGCAATTCTTTCGCGCAGGAGAGGCACCGCATTACAACACTGCGTTCAGAGCGATCCTTGTCTGCTACTGTTTGGTGGTAGGGCTGGCGGTTGTATTAAGGTGCTACTTACAGTGGCTAAACGCGAAGAGGGAGAGGGATGAGGGATTTAAAGGTAGTGCTGGATCTGCCGGTGTGTCGGTGGGAAAGTTTACTGAGGGGGGGCAAAGTACGAGGGTAGCTGAGGTGGACCTGCAAGCTGAGGACCTCGACGATGTCACGGACTGGGATACATTCGGCTTCAGGTATCGTCTTTGATGGACTGTATCATTCGAAACTGCTATCTTCCTGATCTTTAAGCCAATTGCACAGGCTCAGGCAAGCTGCGATTGCCTTCAGTCCCAACAGAAACGTCTATCATCGCTCACAAACCAGGCACATGCGGCAGACTCAGAACCCGAGTGCTTTCTCTACTAAACACGCACCTTTAGTCTTTAACATGTAGCGTAGCCCATTGCATAAGCCAAAGTTCGATCATGAACGCCCCTGATCGAATCGTTCGATCGCGGCTCCTGACAAAATCTCTATCTCTCTACCCATTCCGTCAAAACCGTTCATTCAGTCACTGACAGCCACGCAGATAATCAAGCTAGCCCATACTTTCTTCAGAGTATCTGCGAGAGGCAGTTCTCTGTAACATGCACCCGACTCGTTCTGCTACCTGATAGCCTGCAGGTGCCGTACCATGCGCTAACGTAGTTATTTTCTAGGATAGGACGCGAAGTCGTTTGGAGGACCACTTGCTAGTTGCTGGATGGGGTGGTAAGACGGTGTTATGAGGACGATGTTGCACGGTCGAATCTCTGTTCTGCTCTTGCTAGCCTTTACCGATAAGTTTGCGATGTATCGTCACTTCTGAGTTTTTTGGGATGAATTCAGGAAGATCTCAAATAAAGGATGGATGGCTGACTTTGAGATGCGGGGCTCGATAATGTGTATTCCTCTCACCGCAGGCGCGGGATGTGCCCTGTTGCAAATTGCGGCTGCATATTAAAGCAATTAAAGCATTAGAGGCATCGGGTTTGCCAATTTCTCAGTGAATGCATGGACTTCTACAAGGAACTGGCAATGAAGTCTTTGACCAGTAAAATCCCTTTCTACCCCCGTGATACTCCATTTGAGCATCTCCCTGTCGCCGGCCGGTGTAGCTCCATTGGCTAAATACCTCCAGACATCTGCTTTTTATACATACTCTCCTCTTGTTACTCTCTGTAGAAATCTCCGCAGATCGTCAGCCCATATATGGTTGAGATCAATCACCAGCGATAAAGAACCGCACGGCAAGCACCACGTACTCCTCCCTGAACACCCCCTGTCTCTCGCCCTTGACCTGTCGCAGAACCCCTCTCTCTTCCTTCTTATCAAAGCTCTCGGCGAGTGCAATCACACAGTCATCGTTCAGTGGAGGGTTGTCCACGGTCTTGAGGCGGCCAGGGCTTCGCGGAGGCCTAGTCGGCGACTGGTGCAAAGCTTTGCGCTTTTTTGATTTTTGCGATATGGATAATTGTGGGGTCGCGGGATCTGGGCCCTGCAGCTTTGGCGCCACGAAGGATAGCTTCTTGAGTGAAGGTGTGGGTAGTTTGCGCGGTGATGTTGCTGGAAGCGTACGTTCCGGCGAGCCGTCGAGCTGCGTAAGCTGGTTTGGTATACCTGTGTGGTCAGCTACTTCGGCTGGTTTTTCAGCCAAAGGGGATGAAGGCACACTAGACAGAGGTGACGAGCTTCTTTGAGTTTCTGGGTGTGCTGGTGGCTGGACATGGAGCACGTGAGCTGTCGCTGCTGGTTTGGTGGGCGACCTGGAACGTCTCATCCTTGCTGCTTCGCGCAGAACCTCCCCAGGGTCATCGAAAAGAAAGCTGGTCGCTTTGAGGTCCTGTATACCTGGTAAAGCATTGCTAGGGCAGTTACGACGCTGCAACGTAGTCGGCTGCACGGGCGACGCAAATATAGGCTCCCGCATTGGCGTGGGAGCCGACACCGACGTAGCTGCAGCCAACAAATGTGCTGGCACGAATGGTGCAATCATTTCTGGTACATCGATCCTGGAGTTGATTGGGATGGCCTCGTTGACAGGCCCTTGATGTCTCCTGAGGTATGGCAGCGGCACGTTCATCGATTGCTCAACTTGTCCATCCTGGACGCTGTCGCGCCTTTGATCGTGAATAGGCTGCCCAGTGTTGTTCGACTGCCACTGTTCTGGTGGTAAAGCTGTCCGAAAGGTTGCCCAAGAAGTCTTGTTGGGTGAGTGGTTCTTCTCCCTAGCACGAGACTGAGCGCCCGTCTCTGAACATGATGAGGTAGGCGTCTGCGCTGGACCTCCAACGAAGGCACTATTGCCGTTCTTACGATTCACGATTATGTGCTGAGGTAATTTCCACACGTGGTCGACTAGTGGCTTCCCGTTCCTGCCGGTGATCACCAGGCGGTTGATCAGTACACTATGCTGATAATGGTTCAGACCGTCCGCAGCGATACTTTTGTCGGGCGACGAGCTTCTTCTAGGCTTCGAAGTCACCGAAAACATTGCCGTTGGCGGTAGCGGCCCACACAGTTGGAAAGTTGGCGGTGATGACCTGAGTGGTGTTGCAAATTGGGCAGGTCTTGAGTGTTCATGGAATGGTGGTGTCTGTGGTATAAGGTTGGGTAGCTCATTCGGGAGCTTGTATGACGGAAGACCTCCAGGATACGAGTATGAGCTTACTTGAGGCTGCGGGAGGTGCATGGGCTGACAGTATGGCGATACCATCGTTCCCGGGGGAGTTGGCCAATTTGCCGGTGTAGGAATCATCAGCGCAGTCGGCGCCACGAATGATGTGGAAAGACCGACATTAGTCCCAGAGATGGTGGTGTCCATTTGCGCAGCGAAGTTGGGCTCTGCAAAGGATGGAGCTTGGTAGCCGGGAACATATGTCATTGGGCTAGAGATAGAAGGTGAGCCTGCGGATGGCGGACCGCCGATCATTCCACGAGTATCTGTCCTCTCGGACAGTGGCATGCTGGACAAGGCTGGGTTCAAAGAGCCCGCTTGCAGAGCGTGCAACTCGGGTTCTGGAAGGGGAGAGTGGTATGCTTCGAACACACGGAAGGCGTCACGCTGCCGTTCCTGCGTATCGTTGCTCTCGTAGGATATGCTGTAAGAACGGTTGCGATCGTTCGCGGCTAGCGGTTTCTTTTGGCCATCGCTCCGATACTCTGGCGACGGACAACGTGGACTGACTGCACCTGAAGTTGGGAAGAGGCTGTTCGGAAATGCCTGCCGAACTGGAGGAGGCAAGATAGGTATTTGCCTGCTCATGAAAGGGTTGAGAGGGCTCTGGAAGATTGACTTGTTTGGCAAATGCTGCGGCAGCTCTTCGAATGATGAAATGCCTCGACGCTTGCGAGAACGCTCGTCAAGTGCGCCGCTTTCTCGTCGATCTACCTCATTTGTGGTGATATCCGGGTTCGTCTCCTGCGGCAGCTTGCCAGTGGTATCTTGTAAGTCGTCAGAATCAGCTGCGGCAACCTCTTCATCCCTCGCGATCGCGGACCGCACGACGTAGTTCGAATCTCTGAGTCTGTGTGGGCGCTTTAGATAGTTTGTTCCGGTGGTGACTTTGCTGCCAAAGCCGGCCGTAATGACGACATCCACAAGACCAAACTTTCTGCCACCCGGCTTCTGCATGGTTTTGACGCACTCAGGCATATCCATGCTTGCCATTGCATGCAAGAACGCAGCGGATGGGGGCGATTCCCCACACTTGTCCGTACCTCGCTCTTCGGCTTCTTTCAGAATCGCAGCACTGATTTCCTCCCAACGCTCCGCCGGCGTGATGGTCTTGCGGAATCGCCGAACTCCGCCGTCGGCGGTTGTAAAAGGCGGCAGCAGGATCCAAGGTCTCTCGGCAAGGAAGTCTATTCGATAGCCGGCGAAGATTTGGTGCAGAGACTTGGCGCCAGAACGTATGTCATTTGTGTGAATCAGGGAGCATGTCGACAATTGGCCATTGAACAGTACTTCAATCTTCAAGTGTGTTTTGTTGTTAAAGCCGGACAGGAATGCCTTGTCAGAAAGCTTGACATGCAATGTGAGCGCTTGGAGACGGCTGTGTTCTGCCGTTTTGGGGTCTTGGTCCGGCGCTGAGGATTGAGTAAAGTCAGGACTGACCTGAGTCTGCATGAACGGTGCATTGCCCAGCCAATTGAGCTCGAAGCCGTCGCGATCACCGGGGAACAGTACGCGCTTCTCGTTCAGGTAGCCACTGCGTAGTATTTTCTTCTCGGCAGCTTCACTCTGTCGCTTGGCTACTTCGCCCTTCTTAAGGACAACGTCACTGGTGGTTGTCTCGGCGAGAGGCATCGAGCCCAGGCGAACGGCGATACTCCTAGCATGGTAGACTGGCATTCTAAGAGAGGGTGGAAGATATACTGGAGGAATTGATGCACTGAGCAACACTATTGTACATGTAGTGGGATGAAGTGTGACGACCGGCGCCGAGTATGCGTGTCCGTCTGGCGTTTACGGATTGACCGCTCGTGTTGTGGCGCGATATTGCTACTGTGGGTGTGGCGGAGCCAAGCTAATCGCGCGGTCGCGTGACGTAGCGTGTGTCGGTTTGGGAAAGAGCAAACGGACGTTCCTGCCCACTGCACTTGGGCATGCCACAGGAAGGTCTGCACATTCTGCACTGATAGAATACGGCTAATGAGTTTTCCTCGTTGCTGTCAATGCTGCAATGTGATTCTCAGTCTCTTCGGTTTGGCTGGCTGAGGGTGCGTAGGTGAAGCTTGCTCGAGCGGACCACCGTTTTGGACAAGCTGGCCTGCGGACACTGGCCTCACCAGGATGATGCGTTACGCAAATGAACTCCGTTGGTTTGGGTCAGTAACTCGGACATCCCAGTAGTAAGATATGTTAAGACCTCGGATTTCAGGGACATCAGAGGTTATCGGCGCCCTTTGGGCAAGACTGGAGAATCGTCTGCCCATGTCCATGGACAGGCTAATACTTAGAGCTCGATCTCACCACCAGACTCGATGAATCCTTGACCCCTCCTTTCTTTGTCAGTCCCACTGACGCTCCATTCTTCAGTGATGATCCCAATGGGCGGCCCGCCAAGAACATCTCCTAGCTCTCCTATCGTCATTTCATAGATACTACCAATATTGCGCTCCTCCCAGTCTTCATCCGCGTCTTCGTTGTCATTGTTCTCGAACCCTTCGAAGACGACGGTGTCCGGATTTGCGCCATTTGCAGTCTTCTGGCTGCTCTCTGTGTCTGTTTCCATTGCTTCTTCGTCGCTACCCTGTTCGTCTTCTCCCAAAACGCTTTCTCCACTCAGCGTGCGTACGACGGTCAATCGTGTGCGGTCCACGATGCCCTTCAATCGCACTTTGTCTGTTGTCGCTATCGAACGGCCAGCCTCGAAGCCTGGCAAGGTCTCGCCCGTTGAGGAGTCGCGCCCTGTCAAAAGAGATGAGAAGGCATAGTCGAGCTTCGAGAGGAGTCTGAAAGTGGCTTGTGTGGAACGGGCGGTGTTGTGGAACCACGGCAAGAACTCGACCGCGAGTACAGCCATGTTAAGAAGGTAGGGAACCTGCAGATTGGCTGGAATAGTCTCCAGTCAGCCCAATTCTATTCGAGGGCTTGGAATGAGCACATACGTGAACCTGAGACCCAGACTACATCCACAAGGCCGTCAAGGTCCTTTGCGACTTCCCAGAATGCGCGATAGCCTCCTTCCTGATCCAATAGGGCCGGCGTTCTCCTATGCGTCACGCGATTGTCAACGCGTTTCTGGATCTGATTCAGACCATGGTCCAGGTATCTGATGAGCTCGCTCTCTTTCGTGCCGCCGGGTTGCAGTGGGTGCCTTCGAGGCTGGGGTAGAGGCGATGGGTGCTGCGAGGCAGCTGCAGACGAAGCTGGAGGAGTCGGCAGGTCTGCGCGAGCGGGACTTGTGATTGAGGCCATTGTGAGGGTCAGATGAAGTGAGGGGATTAGATAGTGCACGAGCTCAAGGTGGGAAGTAGGAGAAGCGGTGCCTGGTGAGTAAGCAACCAGCTGCAGGTGTCATCCTATGCCGAGCAACTGCACTTGTAATGTCAAGAAGATTTAGTATGGCCGTCGAACAATGTGGAAGTTGCCTTCCTCTGTTACACGGTGCAGAGCGTTGATGGACGCGTGACGTTTGAACGGTATGTAGCCGCGGGGCCATACCTAGCTTCAGAGCTCGAACACCTCCATGCATCACAGACCTTGTTCGTCGGTCACTGGATATCCCACGATGTGCTCTGCCATCGATCGCGTTCTCTCAAGAGCATGTTCGCATTGTCATGCGCGAGTGTTAATAGTTGATGCATGCGTAAACGGCGTGGTGCTCTTCTCCAGCGGCTCCCGCCTTGGACGGTCATAATTCACCGGTGTAGAACCAAACTTGCAACATTTGATCACGCCCAGAGGTCTAACTGACGAACCGCAAGCTCTGGCACGCATGTGGCCATCTCGAGAACGCTGTTAGCAGTGCAGCAGCCTCAACCTGTATATTTACCCCTCTTACATCACGTTTTGCTGCAGCCTTGCAGCGCCATAGCCGGCTTGGCACCATCAGGAACACAGCCTCGCTGTTCCTGGTCAATGGCGGAACTTCGAGAAGCCTCAAGCCGCGCGTTGAATGGAAATAAGTACAGTCAGGGCAAGGCAGCACTCAGGAACCTCAGGTTTGCTCATATTTGTTTTCCTTGTTCCTGTTCCTCTCTGAACTGTCACTGGTCAGTCCCTCTTGCAGCAAAGTCACGATCCGAGAGTGTGGTGGAAGAGCAGGACATCGACGCGTCCGGTGTTTACACACGTTGCTATGGCTGGTAGCTATAGCTATAATACTTTGGCGGCCATTCACGAAGTCCAAGACATAGCCGGCGCAAACGGGGCCTCCGGCAACACAGACTTATAAACCCCACAACGGAGGCGATCGATCACTCGCTGATCGTTATCGACGTACTGCATGGTCACGGATGATAATTCAGCGTACGTGAATATCGGCAGCTTCGACACGTTCAATCAACAACTTCCTCCCCGAGCAGTTTCGAGAAGCTCAAGCAACTGGGCCGCTGCATACAAAGGAATCCTCTACCGCGAGACTTGGAAGACTCCATCCTAGTGCATTCTGCTGCAGAAACCGAACCAAATCGAGTCGAGAAGGATTTCTGGAAGAATCAACTGTTGATTGACCGGTCCGGCGGTCGCTTCGAGAAATGGCTGCATCGACACCCCCTCTTGCAATCGGTATGATCGTCTTGATCGCCTTGTATGCTGAGCACTTCCGCAATAGAGCGAACACCAATACAACATCAATTGATTGTGATAACAGCTTGTATCAAAGCGTAACCCGGACCAACACAGCGTCTCTACTATTGATCAATGTGTGCGCAACAATTATCTTGGGCGTGAGCGATACGTATTAGCAGTTGGTTACGTCCGTGACAATCACGGGGCCCAAACATGTGCTTTCTAAATTCGGCGAATCTAGGGGTGGGATAGATCCACCATTTAGCATCAACCAGAAACGAGGAAAAAGGAAGCGTTCTTGGGCAACGTGGCTATTTCTTGTTCTGGTGTCTATTCCGGTGCATTTCCTCAGTAGCTGCTCTTGTAATACTGAAAAGCAGACACTTACCAAAGGATGCAGCGAATTCATTGATTGACCCGTCTTTGGTCCAGAGTCTCCCAAGTCAGGTCATGTTCCTGACGGATTGGGTGCTCGGTGAAGCACTCCAAACGCAAAAAGCTGTTTGGCTTGAGCATGCTGACGGCCGCCATGTCGAGCACTCCAGATACAACTTCGGTCTTTCCACTGATAATCCGAAGGTGTTGACGACCACATGTCTCAGTCTGCTCATAACCGGTGTGTGCTGGTGGGCCTTCACATACAAGCGTGAAAGCTTCATCCCACAAATGTACAGGAGCATCAGAGTGCTCTGCACAGTGATAACACAGCTCGACGGTTTCCCCTCGAACGGGATATGATAGGATGACTTGGGAGAAGGCAAGCAGTTCCGATATGCTAGGCTCGCGGCGGCAGAAGTGAAGAAGATTGTGCCGAATGCACTTTACGCTGGGCGAGATCCAGCACGCAACCGAGAAGACCGACGCAAATACAATGAATTAGCGGATGGTCCATACTGTCAAATAAAATGCACACAGCTAATGGAAAAGGGAAAAGAAGCTTGACTGCTGAATCTGAGTCACGACGTGCAGCTTGCGGAGAGATGGATACCCACTCTCCGCATTCGTAGTTCGATTCAGGAGCCACTGTATGCCGGAATGAAATAAGCTTGATCGATGATCTGCCGTGATTGAGCATCGTTTTGCGAGACAGTCTCGATACTTGCTGCCTATTCTGCACGGCAAATGCCGCGTGAACGGCATACCTTTGTAGCTCGGAATTCCAGCCACATTGAATCGCCCATCACTACCGATTAGCATAGGTCATGACCAGTAAACGAGTGCCTGCTATCTTGAGATCATCACAAGTCGTGCTTGATGGCTTGCTTGGTCATTCGGAGTTCCACAAGCACACGATGTCCTTCGGAATTCATTGCGCGTCCAATTAAATGCGGCAATCCGAAGCGATAGCGATACCGGCCAGTGCTGTGAGTCAATCCGAGACCCGCTGAGAAATGTCAGCAACGCTCTTTTCCTCGCGCCTTGTGGCTGTACTGGGCAACTTGTCATTCCCAAGGCGTTGTTGACGCGCAAACAACATCACAGTCCAAAACAGGACTGGAGACCGCCAGCGGCGAGCACCATGCAGTCCACATCGGCCTGTCATTTGCATCATGATGATGAAAAATTTGCTCGTCGGCGGCCACCGACCGTTGAGTACGTTGAAACATTGAGTCTAACATCGTAACGCATGGTTGGTAAAATTTGCTGCCAGGCCAATGACACGCAGTATCCACTCATGGCCGTATACGTTAAGAATTGTCGACAGAGTCTGTGCGGCTGAGTAACAGTTTGGAAGTTGTACAGTGTAAGGTAGGTCATGGCTAAGAGACACGAGGCTTAACGCACAATTGTAGAGCATTATCGAAATCACTTGGCCCAGGGGCTAGACTGCACGGCAGTTGCTGTTCCAAGATGAGAATACGCGTCTCGTCGTGTAAACTTAACATACACTGTGTGCTTGTTTGCTAGCTTTGAGGGTGCGACAGCTATGGGAAGGTTGAGGCTGAATGCGGCACCACGAGAAACACCACAATGCTGCTTCTCCACTCTGCCCATGCAAGCTAGCAACTGGTTCTAGACAACAGGCCGTATCCGTTTCGAGTTTTCGCCTTAGGCGACAACAACAAAGAATGAATTTCTTCGAGGATGATTCAAAGGAACTTCTACTTAGCGCCTCATGTCATTGGCTGCAGCTTTGTGTAGGGCGTGGTGGATGAGTCCCCGCGCCCTTTTTGCCCGCGCCCGTTAGCCAAGCCACGCTTTCTCTGCACCTGTATCCTGCAGCTGTCGACCATCGAGCCACGCACTTGCCATGTGACTCAGGTAGGAGGGTGTCGAGATGTATAAGAGGATCGTGACCCCAGGCTTGTTTGCAGCCTCGCAGTCACCCAATACGAGACCAGGAGCAGGCAAAAGGTCTTCTTCTGTTTGACCTGGCGGCTAGTTGAAGTCTGCTCCGCATTCACAAGCTTATCTCAGCTCTGTTCCCCACCATCTTGTGCAACCTCTCTCTTTATCTTTGTCCCTTCGAGAATCAACAGCCCTCAGTATTGAGGCGCACAATACCCTCAAGATGCCATCCTCCTCGCGAGCATCGATCAGCTCTGGCTTTCGTACTCACCCTATTAGTAGCGTAGGCAACCAGATCGTGGGCAAAGCCCGAACATTGGCAAACATGGGCCAGCCAAACATCGAGTTCGTCATGAACGACAGCGATGGCCCACGCCGCATCATCCCAAGCTACTCCACCATGGATACCATCTCAGGCTACATTGAGATCACCGCGCCATCCGACACTCGCTTCGAGGACATTGATATCGCCTTCATTGGTGAGTGAACACATCCGTCATCTGCACGTATTGGCTTGGCCAGATCTAAAAGACGAAAGCTTACTTAGGAAACAGGCACCGCGAACACATTTGTTGATAGAGTCACAACCACGCCTTCTCTGACAGGACGAACAGAGAGCTCACACAGATTCCTTACATTGCGGCAGCCAGTGGATCAATCGAGCTTCTCAACACCTAGAGTCTTCGAGGCTGGAAGAGTATACAAGTTTCCATTCACATTCAATATCCCAGAGAGGCTGCTCCCTAAGGCATGCACCCACAACGTGGTGGCGGACCCCATTCGCGACCAACACTTGATGCTTCCACCAAGCTTTGGTGACCCAGACCTATCGGGCTTTGGTAGTGCCTTACTTGATGATCTTGCCCCAGAGATGTCGAAGATCACTTATGGCGTCAAGGTCAGGATCGCTCAGCGGGGACTCACTGACAACGTCATCCACATCCTTGCAGAACGCTTGAAGAAAGTTCGCGTGAAGCCTGCCTTTGAGGAGCAAGCCCCTCTCAACATCGATGGCATAGACGAGTACCGGTCAAAGCAAGAGAAGACCATCAAGAAAGGGTTGTTCAAGGGGAGATTAGGTACACTGACGGCTCAAACCATGCAACCAGCACCATTCAGTATTCCAGGAGCCCGCACAACAAACAACAAACCTATTGCCACAATAGCCAAGCTTGTTTTGCGTTTCGACCCCGCTGAAGAAGGAACGCAGCCCCCAGCGCTGAACTCACTCCACACCAAGCTCAAGGCAACAACCTTCTATGCAAGCAACCCTCGACACAACCTGCCCTCTCGGACCCACATGGCGTTCGATATGTCCCAGGGCGTATACGCCCAAAACGTCGCCCTGAACAGCCTCTGTATCACCAAAGCCAAGTGGGAGTCACACTCCATGTCTTCCAACCCCGCACCCGAATCGCTGCAGCGCCGCGACTCCGGAATTTCGGATTGCTCGACATCTAGCTCCGCCGCGCAAGCCTTCGCAGCAGGCATCTTGTCGCCATCTAGCAACTATAAGAACGGCACTTTCTACACCGCGTGTATTCTGGTACCGGTCACGCTCACTGAGAAGAAGAACTTCGTCCCCACTTTCCACACCTGCCTAATTAGCCGAATATATACCCTCAAATTTGAGTTTACACCACAGGGCGGGTCTAGCATGAGTCTTAAGGTGCCGGTGCAGATCTGCGCAGACGGGAGTGACACGGGGATTGAGAACGCGAGGGCGAGAAGCGTAGAGGCAGTCATGTACCGTGCGTCAGCGGGCATGTTCGAACCTAGGAGCGTGGCGCCGCCCAACTTTGACGGGAGTGTGAGTGTGCAGAGAGACGATCTACCCCCCGATTACTCTGCCTTTGCGCCAGCGACTAGACTGGCGGTCAGACCGCAAGCTTCGATTTGATAAGTCTATGTCAAGAAAGGCTGCGCCTTGTTATGATAGACATTCTCCTTTTCATTTGGTTCTCGACACCCTTTCGGTTTCATTCTTGTCCAGATGCTGCTGAGGGTTGAGTGGCGGATACCATCGCTCATGCGTACCAAATTGCTGTGACAGCAAGCGCATATATTTTTTAGACTGTTGGATACCCTTGCCATACCGCCTGTCACAATATTGTATGTACTACACACCAATAATCACCAGATCTAATCAAATTTGATGATCTATGGATTCATGCAGGCGATGGTGATTGTCAATCCTGAAGCCGCGGAAAGGGCGCATGGGGGGAATGCCGAAGGGCTGTTTATTCCGAGCGAAGCTCTCTCCTTCACACCAGCACTACTCACTGCAACGCTCATGTCGGCATCACACTTCGTTGCGACAACATTCTTTATCTCCTTTAATTTTCGATTGAAAGCGTATGAGCAAGTTTTTGCTTCTGCATGACGGTGTCATTCCACCGCAAGCCACTGGAGCTCGGCTATTCCGACAAATCTGTTCTCGTTAGCACCATCAGTTGTTACATCGTGTTCAATCATGATTTCTCACGATACGAAGACAAGGCCAGGTTTGATGAATGAACTATCAAACCTGCTATCACAGTCGTTACATAGGCAATGGTGTAGGCATACCGGCCAGATGACTGTTAAGTATCAGTTGAACTTGTGCGTGGTCGCTAATAAACAATAGAGTCCTGTTGCACCTGTCAGTGACTTTAATGGTGTCATATGTACCTATACTCATAGACGATGACCAGCAAGAGCAAGTCTGGCGTTGACCATTACGCACAAGTCGCAGCCAGCAAGTTAGGCACTTACAATTGTGCCGTGTTCCTCAAGCTTGTCACGGAAGACTCATCTATAACCTACGCTGTACGCGTACCAGCGCATGGCTCGGTCACTAACTGGACCAAAGACGACCTCGGGATGCTTACGTCTTGAACCGGGAGGTGGGTTTGATCAAGTACATCCGTGCACACACCATTGCGCCCCTAATGCACATCGTGCACCACTTCTCCAACCATGACAATGAGCTTGGCTTCCCCTTCATCTTAATGGCAGAACTGCCGGGTGTAGGCGCTCAATCTATATGGTAAAATTATGACGGAGTTTCAACGCCTATCGTTCGATAAGATCGGTATGCCCATCGTCTCAAATGATGGCCAGTCGATCAGCTCTACTGGATCTATATGCTGTCAGAATTTCGCCACCGCCGCAAACTTTCATGAGCGAACCAAGATCGTTGACTTGCAAGCCTCGCAGTCCTCTTACCTTTTTATGGGCCAGGCCGTCCGGAGGAACCACAAGTTTGATCCAGACTACGATGCGAACGAGCTTCGTTATAAAGAAGAGGTTAGACGTACGATTTCGAACCGCATCAGCGTACAGCCGCCGTTCACACATTCTGACGGTGAGATAGCCGAGGCTTTCACGAGTCACAACGACAATCTGGACCTGTAGAATATCCTCATCGATGCGGAGGGTAACGTCACAGGCGCATGGACTAGGACCACTCGTATGTGGGCCCCAGTTGCATAGTGGCTGCTGCGGTCCCCAAGTTCCTTCGCAGCGATTGGTATTCCCGCTATGCCAACAACTTGTTCTGAGCGCCACACATGGCATGGAGCATCCACTACTACCGCGAGATTTACGCTGCAGCGTTGGTCGAGGCTGGCAATACGGATGCGAAGTTTGATGAATTCTGTGATGTATCAGGCCGCAGTTTACGCGATATCTTGCCACGGCCTGTGGAAGATGGCAAATACAGCGGCAATGGGCGCGAAGATGTTGCCGGTTTCGAACAAGCGGGCAAGCTTTAGAATACGCTCAGGTTTTCAAACTTTGTCTCGTTATTACCGTGATGTGGTGTGATAAAGTGCAGCAGCCCTGCCCTGATCGACAGCTCGAGGGCTACCGTAGCTAGTCACCTATCTATTCAGAAAGTGACTAGCGTTTGCGACAGCAGCCACACATCTCTGCTATCATGACCTTCCACTTATCTCACAATAACGCCCCGCTTGTAATACCGAGCTGTACTCCGGTATCACAAGCCTCGAATCTGCACGTTTACGGCGGCGAGTCGCGCAGTGTGCCACAATAAAGCGATCCAGTCTTCGCCGGTCTTGATGCAGATGTGATGACCCCAGCAGCTTCCCCGCGTCACAAGAACACCAACCTTGGAACGGATACGCGAAAGTCTGACAGATCCTCGCTTGGCCAATTGGCGCACGATTTGAGAGGTCCGGTAAGCATGGCATGACCGGAAAGGCCCGTTTTAGTTCAATGGAGCGGCACCCCGCTAACCTTGGTGTCGTATCATATGAACTTATCACCATCCCCACCTCTAAGCACATTTGCTCCTTCTTTTCGTCGTTCAGAACATAAATGCTTGGCGAGAAGCACGGCGTGCTGTTGACAGTCGTTGAGTGTTCACAAAGTGGCACCACGCTGACATGTCCGAGTAGCACGCTTTCGAAACAGCTGCGACACCTGTTTTATGCAAGAAGCTCAAATCATCGACCTCGAAAGATCACACAACCACGTAAATATTTACACTGAGAGATACCATACACAGAACGACCGTACTCTGACCACCGAACTTATGTGAAGATGGCGAACAATCCAGACATGACACAGAACCCAAATGGCAACACCATCATTATCGGTATCATAGTACCTGCGTGTTTTGTCGTCCTCCTGGTGACGCTGTTGATACTGTAAGACACTCAAGACCCTGCGTTGCCTGACTCTGAGATCAGTACTTACTATTCTGAGAAGACACCGTCACAGATCGTATCTCTTACCAGGACTCACTCATGACGTTGAGGCGGCACGAAAAGCTGAGCGCATGCAACAGCGACGAGGAGAGCTCGAAAACACTATCAAGATAGAATCGTTCCACAACTGGCAGGCAGCGCAAAAAGATAAACACCCTAGCTCGCTTCTGACGACTGATCCAGTGTGGCAAGTGATTGGTTCAGGAACTCGTTTAGCTGTACACTGACCGAACCGCAGTGCGATCTGTCTCGACGAGTTCGACGAAGACGCGCAGATACGCGGTCTGCGATGCTCTCACGCATTCCACGCGCAGTGTCTGGATGAGTGGTTTGGCCGCTGCAACGAGTACTGTCCACTATGCCACCGAACCATCATACCTGGGAAAAACATCGTGAAGGCCAGTATGATGGAGTGGCCGCGGCCTTTGCCCGTCGCCTTCATGGTGTGATACCCCTATGCACCGTTCAATATCTTGACATTGAGTGACAGTATTGATTTGCTAAGGCCTGACAGGGACATGTCGTCTGATATCCCACCTAGCGCGCCGTGGACGCACACTGTGGCTTGGTTCTTGCCCCTTCGCGTGTGAACCTGCGATGATAAACACATCAACCAGCATTCGAAGGATTTCTCGAATGCTGGCTGCTGGATGCGCTTTGCAATGCAATCTGAGAAACTCATTACCGACTTGGTAAATTCATGTTCGCTCGACACGTATCAATCATAGCGCGGATGAAACCATCTACCAGGCCAAGTGGTGCTATCTGCCGTCATGCCTACACATGCCGTTTCATCGACTGGTCAACGTTTATGGCTCTGTGCAAAGCCCACACAACACGTCCAGTGAAACGCAAGATGCGAATTCATGTTGCGAGCGTCCGTCTCTGATTTTCTATTCCACTATTGCAAATGAACCGCGGAAGCAAGCAGGCAGATGTTCAGCGCGCGGCAGCGATGGAAGAAGTGGCCTTCAGCTGGAGCAGCGTATCTTGTTGGTGCGGCTTGCTGAAGTGATTCCTCTAGTTCAAACCTAAGATGGTTGTACCACTGAAGCCGAACGATTACGAAGGCGCGCAACGCAGGCATGCATGTCTAGTATGGAGTCCAGCTCCTCGATCTACCTGGGGGAACATGGGGTGGGTCGTCCTGTGAACTCGCATTGACAGGAATCTCACCGAGCTGCAAGATCTGCACCTTTGGATGTGCCGAAAGGGGCATCGGTAGAGATGGGCTGATGAGGATCTGGTGTCTGCCTACAGGCTCCGGTTCAGCAGACCTCTCGAGCCCTGTGCAGCTAGACTTCTCAAATCACTGGCAACCATGTTAGACTCGGACTGCTTTCCCTCAAGCTTTCCCGCCTGTATATTGTACATCTCAAAGACCAGTGCTGTTTCTGTTTCCCCAGTCATCACGTAGGGCTCGGAAAGCCGACGCCCGGTCGGGGGTAAGTAGCAATGCGCTAACTTAAGGGCGAACGCTTTGCTTAAACCCGAGCCCACACCGACTGTAGCCTCATCCTCAACAACAACAAGTACAAACATCGCATCTCATGATGTGCCACCGCAAAGTTTGGAGAGCGGACCTCGTCACGTAGTTGCGGCGATGGCGCAAAGTCCCCCGGCCTGCCAGGATGCAGCCCAGGCTCAGAATGGAAAAGCGGGCCCCCAGCGAATGTCACGCCACCTCTGGTGGTCTGATATGCTTTCTGGGCGCCCCCAGGACCGTGGGCTCGACAGCTTGTGCTTCATCGCTGCACCGAGATACCCGTTCAAGTGACTGAAAAAGTCTTCCGCGTTCAGGTACTTGCTCCATCTGCAACAATCGGTTCTGCACGACCGGCTGCCTTCCATTGTACCGGCTGCCTTCCATTGTACCGATAATACCGCTGTGAAATTCGCCCAAAGTCACCAGCTATTGCACGATTTTGCGCTATTGTGTCTGTACCCAGCCTCATGAGAAACGGCTCCTTCAGGGTCGACGTAACGCAACCCAGGCCCATGTGCTCGAGTTGTCTCCGCACCCATCAACATCCTAAGCGAACTTTGCTACATCCTCGAGACAAAGGAATCCGAAGGAAGCCTCGAGCTTATATTCTCGACCCCAGCTTCTTCGGGCGCCTTCATCCGGAATCTAACCGCATCACTGCCTTGGCCGGGCCACATTGGCACGACTCGTGCATATCTCCTGATCAACGCGTGAGCGCTCTCGTGCAACGACCCTCCCATCGACCGTCGTAATGGCTCTCAATTGGGATGCATTCCTCAATGCTGAGAGTCTGAATATACCGCACGACCAATGGCCCGATCTTTCAGCACCTACAACAGGTCCTCCGTCTTCTGATATGCCAAAGTCCATCTCCTCGCAGACTTCTGGGTCCGCGCCCGAGGACGCCACTGCTTTCAACACTTTTCCCAATGGTACATCAGCCGACCCCTACTTCGACGACTCATTATTCATATCGAACGACTACTTCTTGAGCGATCTTGAAGTGTTACAGCCGTATGGCAATATCGTCTCCGCAGGTGGTTCAATATCAGAATCCTCACCTGAGCCTTCCACTGCTGCTGCCAACATCTCCGCTTACCAGACCCCCGGTTCGATATCGAAAAACTCTAATCAGTCGCTCCAGATGGCGTCATTACGTAGGCAGTCAGTCCAACCCGCCGACACACTCCCTAACCCGACCTACGAGTCCATGCTCCCCAACAACCTCGAGACAGGCTTCGAAGAAGACCTCACCTTCCCGAATGGGGTCAAGGAATCATCAGCCCCATTAAAGTCAGCACTCGACCGGAAGAGGACGTCTATAGACCTCGTCAAGAAGCGCAACAAGAACAAGCCGGACATCCTGTCTGCATGCTGGACGTCACCACTGTGTCCCAACCACGATCAAGATGGACCGCCGCCTAACCCCTCTACATGTGGCGGGGGCTGCGCTCCCTTCCTGTTTGCGGACCAAGATAACCTGCCCAACATCAACAACCTATTGGCGGAAGCTCAAGCGGTCACTGCTGAGGACGGCATCGTCGAGATCCAGCCTCGACGAAAGAAGCGTTCGGAGAGTGAGGCATCTGCTGGCGAAACCACAGGACGTTCATTCCAGCAGCCCGCTAAGACAGCCGCCGAACTTGTGGCTGAGGCAAGGCAACGTATGGAGATACAGACCATAGAAGACTCTCCTGTCCATGAATCTCCGCCTGCAGCAGCTGATGACAAGCCCAAAGCCCGCCGTCGACTACCTCACAACCAGGTTGAGCGCAAATACCGCGAATCACTCAACACCCAGCTCGAGTCCCTCCGTCGTGTCGTCCCTTCCCTGCAACAAAACGCCCGCATTTGCGATGGTGCCGACATCGAAGACCTGTCAACACCCTCGAAACCTAGCAAGGCTGTCATTCTTGCTTCAGCGACAGCCCACATCAAGCAACAAGAGAAGGACAAGAAGGTTCTCGCTGACGAAAATGCCCTCCTGCGGGCACGGGTCAAGGCACTACAAGCCCTTGTCAAGTGCGACGACTGCAGCTTGATGCAGTACGTTATGGACATGAAGATCAATCAGGTGAAGTGATCATTGCCACTTCTTTCCCTACTTCATGACAAGATTCTGGCAATCTGTCCGGACCACCCTGTGTGTCACTTCTCATACACTCTTCGATATCGACACATTATCTGCATCGTCCTTCAGGAGTATCACAATGGCGTTCATGTAGCATTTCGGGTTGGTCTGTCTCGACAGCCAGTTAGCTCCCGTTCGATGATGTGACAAGCAGGATCCTTTCCTATTCCAGTTTCCTTTGACCGACTTTTGGTATCTGGGTTGCGCTCATCAAGGATCCTCAACCTTTCGGCCCGCAGCGCACGGCTGCTTGTAACGATAGGCGTTACGAAGACGGGGTGCTATAGGTGGCACATGCTGAACAACAGCAAGGCGTTACGGGACTGGCGACGCCGCTTAAGCGCGGCTAAGGTCGGCCATCACATTTCCACGATCAATACACATACACAACTACAACTTCTAAGTCCGAACTTCAGCCTCTCATCTCCTCAACGTGATTACCGCCCGTCTTGGGACCTGTCAGGGAATAAGCATTGGAGGTGGGTCGGACATACCGGTGCGGCAGCGGGTGGAAGAGTTGTTGCAGATGTGGACTCCACCCCGACTCCACTAGAATCCGCCAAAACTCCACTTTGACTCGTATAGCTGCAGATCAGCAACTCACCGCCTTGAAAATTGTCGCGGCAAAACCAGGAGGAGAAGGTCCAACACTGTGTTTGGCCAGATCAGCGATAGGAATTGCTCATCGACAGTGTAAGATAACGGTCGATAACAATGGACAAAGTAACTACCGAGGTGAACGCCAGAACTAGGATCAAAGCGGGCGCAATGTCCTGTGCGGTGAGCAAGATGAAGGAGTCACAAGAGCTGGCAAACAATTATAGCAATTGATGTTTGGAGTATAATGAATTAAAGCTTTTCGCTTTTCGTAAGTAGGTCCCGTAGGTATGCCTGTAGATCTATCCCAGTGCGCCAATGTACCCAAAAATGTCCGATGATTCCAATCCGAGCCCGGTATTAAAGTTGATATCGTATCGTCGCCAGTATCAACATGGTGGCGTATCCATAGACGTGAAGAAGTGCTAATGTAACATCGCTGAAGATAGATGATGAATATCCTAGTTCTTGAACTGGGGCTCGTCGGCCTCAACAGCGGGTGTGGGGGGAACTGAACGGTCTTCCCAGTTGGCCTCTATGATGCTGTTAATGCCTCGAAGAAACAGATGGTACACTGATAGTAACGTACGGATGGAGCACTGAACAGTGCCGATGGGCCACTGAGGGCCGTCCCAGTTGTCCCAACCCTCCTCGTAGGATGTAATGGCGTCGTGCTCGGCCTTGAAGGCAATCTCCTCAGCGGTGAGCTGGATTTTGGGGATAGTGGTCTGGGCAGACATTGTGATATATGCGTGGGTTTTTGGAAATGGTTGGATGAACGTTTGAAGGTTGAATGATTGAGATGATGAGTTGACGGATGGATGAAAGGAAATCGGGGAGCTTTCGAGCTTTTCAATGCTTCAGCGAAAAATCGAAATTGCGGTCACGATGGACCAAAAGTCCGTGCTGGTGTAGACTAAGGTAAAGATAGTCCCGGAGCCAATGCCGCTACCTCGGGGATCGCGAAGCGACACGACTAGCGAGTCAAGAACAGGCACGAGGTACGAGAATTGTGGGGGGATTCGCCTTCCAGAGCCCACTTCCCTGGTCGCCTCTTAGTCGTCTCCGGATATTCAGGTTTTCCTCCGGATAAACTAGGGGTGTGTGGCGTTCGAGATCCATAGAACGCGGAGGACGGAGGAGCTGAGGTGCAGAACAAGTTTGATGTTGAGCTCGGAAGAGTCCGGCATCGGTCACGCCATCCAGTTTTCCCATCAACGAAACTTCGAGTCCAAAAAGGAATCACCTGCCACCCTCGCGCACATGTGTCAACTGATACCATATCGCAACTCCTGATGATGGACGATCATTTGCCGGTTGCGGAAGCTACGCATGCGTCTGCGACGCTGCAGTTGCTGATACGCACACCACCGCAATACTCGCGATACAGTCCTTGATGCAAGTCGACATCACAACAAAGTCATGCGTAAAAGGCAACACCGCGGGCAGCGGACAACACATATATCATGAAAGGCAACAATCGGTATCCTAACGAAAGCTCAAATCAAATTTGTCCACTCCCTTGCCCGGATACAACGTCAAGACCTGGACTTGCGTCACGGTTTCATCCCCGCACAGAATATCAATGCATGCGGAGACCGAAACTCAGATCCCGCGGTCCGAATCCACGATATTGCTCTTCCCTAGTATTCTCCACCCTTCCAAGTAATCCACTCTCTTCGGCGATCGCCAGAAGTCGATTTCAACACCATCCAAAGATGATCACGACGACGAACATCAAAGCCGACATCAAGTCGATCACCACCACAGTTCGGCGTTTCTGATCAACTTCTTGGGTCATTGTTTGCGTCGGCTGCATATCAGCCGTGCACATCGTCGACGCTATGCTGGACAATGGCGCATCACAGCGAATGTGTGTCAAAACTTTATGACAAACCCGTAATCATTGTAGACGACGAGTCCGTGTCACTCGAGGACAGAGATAGCGATGGACAAGATGGCGGACCAATATGTCGAGACGTAGCAATCAAGAGCTGGAAGGCCCCGACCAAGGCGCAGAGGAAGTATGGACATGCAAGACGATGGAGTGACCAGCCGTATTCAGGTTGCCCGTGAGATGAAGGAGCAAGTCGCGGAAAGAGGGACACGTGGATCGAGAATATCATGGTGGCAGCAGACGCATCGTTGAGAGCGACGCGACATTCAGGTGATGCCCAAGGAGCACATCATTGTAGATTCTGATAATTATCTTTCGTATTGAGCAAGACACGAGAAGCGGAAGGCCCCCAGGACAGCAGATAACGACCAATGATACTTGATTGTTCCAGAGTCGCAGAACCTTATTTGAGAGCTACATCTCCGACATCCGTGTTGTGCCACTTTTGTCCAGATCATCCGTGCGAAGGATCAGGCGCAGACGCCAGTTGGACCAAGCAGTCATCAGCCTGAAACCGCGCCTGCCCATGCAAAAAGCCACGCTTGTCAACGTCAACTCGCCACCAACGAGGGAGCGTTCTCGATAAATGAGGAACGGGCCGGGCGGGCTGCCTAGCTTAGTTGAAGAGGAAGGTACGAGGCGGGATGCTAGAAGGATGGAATTTTGCGCTGATAGGATTCAATACAAGCGCCGTGTACCCCTGTCAGCTAGAGTCTCGACGAGGCTGTCAAGCGCCAGTTGCTGGATAACGACGAGCTAACATTAGAAAACCCAACCTCGACCTGCAGCTGCAGTTCTCTGACATTTAAGCACCTGCTCCAAGATTCGGTGATTCCGTCAGCAGAGCAGATGGAGGGCAGTACGTATGGAGGGACTAGTCTAAGTTCAGAGGCAAGATGCGTGTGGCTTTTTCCGGGCGTTGGACGCAGAAGACGTAGGGCGCTTCATTCTCTGAATACAGCTGCACGTGAAGTACGTATAGCTGTTGTCTACGGAGTGCCGTTTGTCAGGCCTCGTCGAGCCAGTGGTTCCCGCTCTTAAGGCACGGAGAAAGCGCTCTAGGCTGTAGTTTCTCAATATTTGGGATGCAATATACTATCCCGCGAGTCCTCTGCAGCTCGATCGATGTCCAGCGCTACAATGTCGTTGCCATCGTAGGAAACCGTCGCAACTTAAGACTTTTGCTCGTTTAAAGCAACCTCTCAACTTAGAGTCACGCTCCAAGGATAGACAACGCACATGTAAATCAGGTGTCTCGTGCGATTTCAAAGGTACAAGCGTTTGCTTGCAACATCGCGACATGTCGCGACATGACGGGCATCGTGAGATTCTCTGGGCATCATGAGAATGCCGAGGGCGATCGTAGAGTCTCCTAGAGCGTCATGAAGGTCGGTGCACATTCCGAACTCGAGCAGCGATATTGACCTGAAACCAATCTTCGGGAATTCGAGCATAGGAATCATACGAAGCACATTGATGGGAATAGTCAACGTGCAAACATCGAAGAGCCGAGATGCTAGATCTACTGCTCACCGCCCACGTGGGTCGCCGCTCTGGGAAATCTGTCATGTTGCCATGCTTGGCACCGCTCTTATTAACGAGAGTCACTGCAGCCACCTCATTGGCCAGACATTTCGCACTCCTCTAGCAACATCGGCTACTAAAAAGGCAAGGATCCAACAGTATCGGGTCCACAATTCTCGCATACAGCCATGAACACAATCGAAGAAAGCGCAATTGCGCACCAGAAAGAGCACAGAGCGAATGACATCAACGATGATGTTGAGAAGGGGAGGGGTAATGAGCTGGGACACGAGGCAACAGGTACGTCTCCCGCCGGCGACAGTGTGAACGTCCTAGGCGCAAGCTCACAAGACACCAGGGCTTTACAAAGAGCACACTGATCTGCCGCCGCTGAAAGGCTTGTCGTTCCTTGACAGGTTTCTGGTACTATGGATTCTCATTGCTATGGGCGTTGGTATTGCAATCGGCAACACTGTCGATTCGGCCGGGCCTGCATTGCAGAAGGGCGAGTTCGTGGGTGTTAGTATACCCATTGGTATGTCTTCTCCTAATCCGGTAACATTCGGCGGTTGTTGATTGGATGTGGTAGCCATTGGTCTACTCGTCATGATGTACCCCATCTTGTGCAAAGTCCGCTACGAAACACTTCACCTGCTGCTCTCGCACAAGGACCTCTGGGTGCAGATCGGTATCTCCTTTGTCCTCAACTGGATTATCGCGCCGCTATTTATGGTTGGGCTGGCATGGGCCTTCCTACCAGACCGTCAGGATCTAAGAGAAGGATTGATCTTTGTCGGCATTGCACGCTGCATCGCTATGGTACTTATCTGGACAGACCTGGCGAAAGGAGATGGCGACTACTGCGCGGTGCTTGTGGCCTTCAACTCGATACTGCAGATCATTCTCTTCGCACCTCTGGCGATCTTCTACATTCAGATTGTCAGCCGTGGCGCAAAGACGAACGTGTCGTACGAGAAAGTGGCGCAGAGTGTTGGTGTCTTCCTGGGAATACCCCTTGGCGCCGCCGTTCTCACGCGACTGATCCTCAGAGCTATCATCGGCGAGGACAGGTACCAGCGTCGTTTCCTCCGGTACATTGGACCTCTTTCCCTGATCGGCCTCTTATACACGATCATCGTTCTGTTCGCCAGCCAGGGCGCGCATGTGGTTAGGCAGGTCACCGACGTGCTTCGAGTATGCGCGCCACTGTTGGTGTACTTCCTGGTCCTCTTCTCGGCCACCGTCTGGTTTTGTTACAAGATGGGCTTCGCCTACAAGCTCGGCTGTGTCCAGGGATTTACAGCCGCGAGTAACAACTTCGAACTTGCTATTGCTGTGGTAGTCGCGGTGTATGGTGCCTCAAGTGGACAAGCGTTGGCAAGCACTGTCGGCCCGCTGATCGAGGTGCCAGTGTTAGTCGTTCTGGTATACGTTCTACAATGGTTCAGGAAGCGGTGGCAGTGGGCCTGAAGACCCAAGAGTCGGGCAGATGGTGATCGGCATAGATAATGAACCAGTCTTCGAATGCGAGCACCGGAGCGACCATTTGTAGGGTAGCGCGAATGTCACTTCGGTACTTGGTAATTCTGCTGTCAGCAAGAGCAAGACACATGCATGTGATGATGGGATAGCAATTGGAAAAGACTGAAGAAAGAAGGTGAACCGATGATCTACCAGTGACGGCAGCTAACCCAGCCACTCAAATGTATCGAACCTTCTATGTGAGAAATTGCGCATGCAAAGTACAACCGTGGTATCGGGACTCACCCAAGTCAACGCTAGCGATTTTGGGGCAGCGCCTGACAGCGACGAATGAAGATAACAGTGCGTTTGGCTTCGAATATTCCGTGGTTCATATTACGGCAATTTAGTCTTTCCGCAGCCGCCGTAATACGAACCAGTATACGCCATCACGGATTGGCGCCTGAGCCAGTACCGGAGCCAACAAAGCGACCTCGGATCTTTGCAATTGGTACGGAGAGCAGCTGAAGGCATCCGCCTCACCTCTTGGGCCAAACTTTGTCGGCATGATGTGTGTCAGGAAGCCGTCCTGACAACAAAGTGCGAGCGTTCCCTTTTGGCGGGTCTACTTTCGTACATAATTGGCGGATTGACCATGTGTGTACACTATACAGTGTCTGTTCGGACGTCTATCGTCCATGAAGATCTTGTAGCTGCGTGACAAGAAGTCCGAGGCTATGAGGCTATCGCGTATTTCCATTTATTTGCAGTAATGGCAGTTGAGGTGTCCCCATCTCGAACGCTTGTCGTGCAAGCGGATCCTTTACCTGGCCCAACATCCTTGCGTTGTTCAACGGACATCTTTGTTTGTGCGATGATTGAACGATCAGGGACGTCTGCCGCTGACTTGCTGATAGCTCTGTCCATGACTTGCACAAGACGCCTCTCAGACGCCGAGCGATCTCGTTCAGCCGAAAATCGGGTCTAGCAGTATGCAGCATCGTCTCCGATCTCTGTTGTTGATTCGCGAAACCGCAATGTGTCCGCCTAGTGATTCAGAGGCACCACGCAGTCCACCGTGGTGCAATCTCTGCAGCGCAACAGCCTTAACACGAGGTACATTGATCGACGTGCTGCTGCCTATCGTGACACGCCGGTGATGATGTCTAGACAGACAGCCAGTATCATTGGCATGGATCGAATCTAGGATGCATAATCTGACTGTGATCTATGCAGGTGACCGAAGCATCTCAGCGCTAAGCGTCGCACCGCAGGCGTTCGATCGTTTGACTGTGTTCTGGTGATGCTGTGGAAGCATGTACTGTTGCGAACCTAGATCTAGAGGCCTATGCTTTGACGGCTCTGCTCGCAGGCTTCTGACCAAGCTTTGTGAATGTTCACGAATCCTCGGAGCTCTTGGATGACGGAGTGCATAGGATGCAGTCGAATGAGTTGCAGGCGGACTGCGGTCGTAAGTGGTGGAGACTACTTGCACATGCCAATGTTGCCATGCTAAGCCTCTCCGGATTAGTGGATATGAGCCAGAGCCCACTAGAGGATGGCGTACAGCAGTACGGTGTTTAAGGAGTTAGACGAAGGCGAGTGTGCTGTCGTGCATTTGTTTAACGATCATCAGGGTGACAGCCTCACATTCTGGCGCTTTGACTTTGTTTGGTCCACGTACACTTTTACACCGCCCTTTTAATAATCGTAAGTCAGACATTCTCAGACAGGTCGAGAACTACTGCACCTCTTTTCGGATAGCTTGTAGAGGCTGCTCAAGTTAGTTGATGTGTCAAAAAGTGTGGCTTTACTGTGTACATTCGCTGAGTGTAATCATCGAGCACCAGGTACGATTTCAGCTGGCAGGCTGCCTGACGACTAGCACTTGTTGTTTCTGGTGAATTTATAAATCTTGTCGGTCCACCGTGTGAGCGCAGTGAGCTCGCCTATGGCCAGTAGTGAGCAGTGAGAGCAATTGTGCAGGTTAGGCGATTGGACATGCCACGCTTATCAACATCATCACTATAGCCAGGGTATAGTGTCAGTGTCAATGCTAGGGACAAAGTAGGCCTGAATCGCACCTGATCTTCTTTCGTCTCAGAGATGTGGTCTGCACAGAGCACTTATGCAGTCGCGTTGCATGTTCGCGAATACCATTACCTATTTGCGCGTGCTGCTCCACTAGAAACGCGCCTCTTTTACATCACCAGTGTGACTACCTTGTCAATCTCCACACAACCAAGACGAAACTCGTGGTTTGAACAAGCCAGCACAGCGCGCTCATCGCGATTGCTAAAGCAAAGAAAGTGCCTCAGCGGCCGAACACACTTTCCCCGAAGTGCCGGTCACGAATCCGGGGGAATGGTTCGGCGCGTTAGCGGCTTCTCGTGTTTCACCTTCTGCCCCCATCCACGCTGCCCTCAGCAGACCGACACATCGATGTGAAGCACGCTCATACGGTCATATTCAACACGGTGTCTAATTTGTGTCTATCGAATGGCCTGTTGATTCATATCAGAGTGGTCTCGGTGTGCACCATTGCACCCACAGTCTCGGCGATACACAGCAATGTGGCTGTGCCCCGGCAATCCCAGAGCCAAAATCCGCCAAATCCTACCCAAATAAAGTCTCTGCCTAGCGCAATTTTTCTTTCAAAGGAACTAGTCCCAAGTTTGCCGGCCCACTATGATCATTGCAGAATAAGCTTATGTACAAACCGTTATCCGTCTTGAGAGACAGCCCAGCTCCCGCTGCCAGCGTCCCAGATAACCTGTGGCGTGTTCAATGACAACGAGAGCACGTTTTCACTGAGCGTTCACACGTTTGGGGAGCTTGCGGTCTGCTTCTCGGCCTGGTTGAAACGGTACCCGCAGGACAAGTGCGTCAATCCATGCGCAGGCGTATCTCTTGCCAATCATTGCGAAGGCTTCTCTGTGGCATTGAGGGGAAAGCGGCAGCTAAGGCATGATCCGACTGCGTGATCCCAGGGTGACGACCAGATTCTTGGGAATCGACGACTCGCAACATACACGTCTCCACGTCATGTACACCCCTATCACGGCCTGTTGGGATGAAGAGCGCCTCGTCAACCTAAGACGGCCAATGGCTCAGCTGCATTTCCGCCCGTGTGCAAAAGCCATACAGGCCATGCGGTGGGTGACTTGGTGTGCTGCATGCAGGCGCTCATTACACAGCAGGAGCAGTGGCCGAGCCAGAATTCCCACCATTGCATGCAAGCGATAGACACTTTCAACACTGACCTTCTGCAACTAGCAACTACCTTTACACCTGAGAAACCTACATATCAGCCTAGACACAGACTCACCATCACGACTTTTAAAAGCAAATACTGACTACAGATCTCATCTCCACGTAATTGCCACCAGTCCCTTGCTGGGCATTCGCGCGGTACCGCCCGCGGGCCGGTACGGGCAGCAAGGAAAGGTGCACTGATGCAGCAGTGACCGTGCCTCGATAGATGCAAATCAGAATTTCGGAAACATGATTGCAGCTCATTTCGGACGTGCTCAAACAATATATGGACTTGAACTTCGGACCCCTCTTCACAAAATCCCCCACATTGCCGCTCTCCCAACAACGGGCTATGCAGGAGGCCGAAGACAGGCTTACCAAGCTTGCACCCTATAACACGGCTCTGGGTCATGATTGTTCCTACTCAGGCTTGCAGCTGGTGTTGACCAGAACGGGCGTCACGCGTCAGCAATGGGTTGATTGAGAAACGTGCTGAAGCGCGCGGAGATTGGTACCGAAGTGCTGGAATCAGGCCCAAACTTTCACCATGGGACTCCTGTTCAAATGCGTCGCACATGCCGAGCGATGCTCGACCCTGGCAGAAGTGCCGAAGGGCATGTTCCATCGCCATATGCCCTGGGCTGTTATGGTTGCAGCAGCTGTCACTGTTTCACTCGTGTCGAGACCTGGGTATGCCAGCGTCAAACGGCGCTGAGGCTGCCGAAACGTGTGGACGGCAGCAACTGGAATGGTGGCAGGGCTTGTCTGGCTGGCCCAGGCAGCTGGTGGCGGTTGAAGCAGTGTTCAGCGCTGGCTCAAACTGTCCTCTTCGTCAGCCACCAGAGCGAGCCAGAGCAGAGGCGGCATCATTCATGCGCATGAGCCTGCACTAGGGTTTTCGTGTTCTGAGCGGTGAGGGCACAGAGCAGAGCAAGCAGCAGCAGGACGCAGCACGGCAACATGGGTGCGCAGCATGAGCAGCGTTCGCCAGGAGGCAGCGAGACGCTGGAGGTCTGCGCGGTGCCGAGTTGCATCCAGGGCGTGGCTCCAGCTGCGCGCAGGGAGCTGGCAGCAGCGGTGGGTGAGGGGCACACAAGACGGCTGGGGGGATCCGCCGAACTGGCTATTCGCAGAACCGACAGGATGGATAGTGGGACCAAGACTAGGCCGCTCTCGTCAGCGCTCCGAGCGCACTGGCGGGCTCTTCGCTGTTGCAGGTGGCCGGGACCAGGGTTTTAATTAATAGCGGTGCCGTTAATGGCTTAAGGCGCGGGTGGTTCCCAGAAGCACCAGCATGTGGATCCAGCCGCCTCGGGGCTGCCTCTGCTCGGGCACGCAGCTGTGAGCGAGCAAGAGCCCAGCGCCTGCGAAGGGACGCTTCAGGTGCGTTAGTGCAGGGGTGTGCGGGTGCTGTCTTAAATAACCCTCCCGCAGCGCTCCTGCCCTGATGACTGAGACCCGTCTTGCCTGCCCAAGTGCCCCAAGTGCTCCGAGATTCCAGCAAACCGTCTCAACTAATAAAACCGACACGGTTCGCAGCATCGCCGCCGCGCCCACCCAGTACCCAGTACCCAATATCCAATACCCAGTACTCAATACTCGCCCCAACAGGAGAGATCCTCCATACCTGATCGCCTCACTGCTGCTCGCCCTGCTGCCAGCCCGCCAGCCCACCCGCCTGCCCTCTGCAGCCCGCCGCTGCGCCGACGAGCAGCCCGCGACCGCGCGTGTGTCTTATGACCAGCGCACCCTCAGGCACGGCACGAGTTCCCCGCCCCGCTGACGAGGCGGTTTATTAGTTGACGCTGCCCGCCCACGAGGCCCGTTTGCTGCTCAACATCGATCCAATGGTCACAATGGCATCGAATGGGTGAGTGCACTGCTCCTCCCCGCTCCGTGCGACTTTGCGCCTCCCCGCTCCGTGGTCCCGCGTTGGCGCCGCGCAGCCCGCCCAGCGAGCGTCCGGCGCCATGGGCAGAACGGCCATCGCAGCGCGAACTGAACTGCAAGGAAAAGCAGGCGACTGACTGAGCCCACAGACTGCCCGTGCCCGCTCAAAACAGCAACTACCTCGAAAATGGCCGCTACTACCACGGCTACCGGAGAGGCATCTACCAGTATCCGTGCGACGAGGTGAGACCTGCAGCGATTTCCAGTAGAAACCGCCAGCTCTGACACAGGCAGCCTGAAAAGGACCGCATGGATATCTACCACAAGCTGTTCTCCGTAGCACGGCGAGACACGCTGCACCAGGCCCCTGTGCTACCGCACGGAGAAATTCGCATCCTCGATGTGGGCACCGGCACCGGCATCTGGGCGATAGACATGGCCGAGTAAGTTGGGCTCTGCGGTCTGTGGCCTGCGGCCTGCAGGCTGCAGCGTGCGTGGCATGCAAGGCTAACCGTGTGCGCAGCAAATACATGAACGCCGAGGTGCGCTGACACGCTTTTTCTGTGCTGCATTGCGGTATGAGACCGACAGCTGACGATAATTCTGCAGGTTCTGGGCTTAGATCTGGTCAACATCCAGCCGGAAAGGTATGTGCCCACCCTTGCACCTGTTTGCCGGCACACGCACTAACTCTGCGCCCATGCAGAATTCCCCCGAACCTGCGTTTCCGTGTACCACGCGACTACGAGAGCCCGTGGTCGCTAGGCGAGGACTCCTGGGACCTGATTCACCTACGGATGGCCTGCGGTAGCGTCACGAGCTGGCCAGAGCTGTACCAGAAAGTCTTCGCGTACGCAGCCCCCTTGTGCGTGCATTTTCGAGGCTAATAATCGCAGGCATCTGAAGCCCGGCAGCGGTTGGATAGAGCACGTTGAGATTGACATGCAGCCGCGCTGCGACGATGGCACGCTCGACCCCAAGGGCAAGCTTGTCCAGTGGTACGGCTACCTTGCAGACGCAACATGGCGAGTCTCACGCCCAATTGCATACGATCACCGGACCCGCCAGAACCTACAGGCCGCCGGCTTCATTGATATCCAGGAAACCGTAATCCGCGTTCCTTACAACTCATGGCCCAATGACCCACACCAGAAGGACATTGGCAGGTGGTACAACCTAGGCATCACCGAGGGGTTGGACGCACTGTCCTTCGCCCCTCTCACACGCGTCTACCAGTGGGATCTCAACGCCCACGTCAAGCCGCTCCTCGAAGGCGCCAAGAAGGAGATTTGCAATCGCAAAATTCATGCGTACAACAACATGTAAGTCGCCCTATTATTGTTTGCTGTTGTACCAATTCATTGGGGTTACGACCCAATGCTGACCCCCTTGCTCTACAGTCATATCTGGACCGCCCGCCGACCCCAGCAGTAGCATTTCAATTTGCTAGAATTGCGCTTGTAATGCTATCATCCAGCTGCTATTTCTGGCCGTGCACGCCTGCCACGACCCCACTCTTGCCGACACATTCGCCAACGCAGACCACCCTGCATTCCCCAAATTGTTGTTTGGGTCCACGAAAGACTTGTGAGAGGCCGGTCTGCAACCTTCGACCACCGCTCCGGCACTGTAGCAATCCCATGGTCCGAGAGCCTAGCGTTTGCCCAGCATCCGTCGAGTCCAGGCTACCGGTGTGCCGCAACTGTCCGAGCCTGCGATCTCGCGAGGCGGTGCGTTGAGCTATTCCACGCCCATTCGATGCAAATTCGACTTTGTTTCAGATAAATCATTTCCTTGTCCTTGCAGCGCTTTTTGCGACGGAAAATCTGGAGTTGTTTGGTACCACATCGTTCTGGCGTTCGGTCACGCTTGGGAGTATGATACCATGATTTTGCTTCGACGACATCTGAACGACTTGAGACGAGATTGCGCTTCGAGCAAACATCACCTTTCTACGCGTTTCGTCATCTCCTTTCCAGTACCATGTCTATCTTGGTCACGCTCCGGTTGGATGTCTCAGCGTTTATGCATCTTCGCGAGGCTTTCTCGGATTTCTGGCGGTTTGCTTGAGAGCCCTGCGTCTTGTCGTCTGGCACTGCTGGTCTGCAGATTGCCAGGCGAAGCACCCCGCCTTTCGGTGTATGAATACTGTTCTCCGAGTAAATAATATGTTCTATCTCCGCTCCTGTCCAACGTCCAGTAATATTGAACATTGACGTTGCGGCACGCTGATTCGACAGGCGATCTCCAGCTCCCACGCGGACGTAGCTGCAGATCCCCACATCCACCTGACGACCGCCACACCATTCTGCGTGTCGACCTGCCACGAGTCGGACATTACTGTTCATTGCATATGTCATGGCCACGCGTCGCTTTCAACGTCCCGGGAACAAGCCATGTGCTATGCGCGCGTGCACATCGGCGGTGCACATCATCCGGCAGCGTGAACGGCGCGTAGAATGCTCGTCCTTGCTGGGTTGACTCCATATCCCACACTGCATGGCTCGCACCGTAGAAAATACGCGGGGATACTTCTAGAATGAGCAGTAGCCCAGTGACGAGTACGAGTAACTCGCGCGCACGAAGTATTCAGGTGCCTACGACCCATACTCGAGCGGCGATGCCGATCCCAAGCAGGCGCATCAAGGCGAGGGCGAGTTTGGGGCCAAACTTTTAACATGAATCTGTCGGCGATGAGCGCAAGAGTCTGGCGGGAAAGATTCCGCCCAGCAGTACAGGCGCGGCAGCTCACCCAACGCTTTGGAACCCTGGCCCGACCGAACGCCAGACGCCGCTGCTCCCGCCTCGCTCCACCATTCCAGTTCCTGCACCTGCAGGATCCTTCGGTGCGTCATCTTCGCGATACCTGCTGGTCTTGCATTCAATTGACGGTCAGTCACTGGTGCGAGGCAAGTTGACGGCCCTTCATCGGCCTTACATTCAGGCTGACTTCTGCGGACTATCGCGCCCTTGCTCAGCAAACCGAGTCCGCGACGCCATCTCGTCTATCTGACACCAACAACCCGCGAACACAGCGCCGGCCGGTCATAGTCGGCGACCAGCCCTACAAGATGCCACTCCAAGTGCGCAATTCGCTGACGCGCCATCTCTTCGCTGCCTATGGCTAGTCCAGCGAGTCGAGTTCCTGGCGACAACTCCACCACAGCCCACATGGCACCCCGATAGAGTAACCCGTTCGCACGCCATCACAAAGCCTTGCGAGCCGGCGAATCTTACCTCTACACCGTTCAGTTCCTGAATCAATCATCGCACGCCCCAATTATCTGGTCGAGGTCTTGACTCCTGTATGAGCACCCCAGTGCACGGGAGATTTGCGGGCCGGCTGCGCCGTAGCTGTGCCTCGTCTCCACGGCGACTTGAAAGGACCTCCGGCTCGCCTTGATCCGTTCGTCCACCACTCGACGACTCCGGGCCTGAATGGCACGACCACCCGCCGTGTCATGCAAGCAGGCGTAGACAACGGCACGACCATTAATCCAAGGTACGAGCGCGGGACGGGCATGTGTACCGTTTGCCAGCGCCCTAAGCTTGAACGTCCAACATACCTAGATATGGCGGCCATTAGCCTACAGCGATAATCCCGTTCCAACAAAAAGGACCGTCGACATCTTGCTCGATGCAGGAACCACCACCGTAATGAACCTTTCGTATGGTAGAGTGAACTACCTAGCAGCTCTAACCTGCCAAGTACACGATACCTACAAGAGCAGCTTCCTCCTTCCTATTATAGACCAGGCCCTCACAAGAAAAGCGACGGTTACAGTACCCTCTCGCGCCGGCGCTGCACGTGCAGTAAGTGCATCTCCTTCTCTCCACTATTTCCATGATGAGCAAGCTGGGGCCATATGACTTCCTCCCCGCGCACACACCTGTGAGCACAGGGTTGCAGGAACGATGCTTCCACACACCAGCAAATCCGTATCTTCTCAACACGCCTGATGCACCCCAATGCACTTCGCTAGCGCTGCTGTAGTCGTTGTTCCGTTTGGGATAAGCGAGCTGATTGGTTCAGGAATTGACTCCCGGTGGTAGTCTATCGCCCTCTAAGTCTGGCTGCCACACAGATACGCTAAGCTGAATCGATCGATATACAAGTGCTGTATCGACGGGTAAAACATGTCCTCATTCAGCCAGCTAGGACTGCGGCTGCACTTAGCCTTGCCGCGAAATGAGCTTGGTCGAGCTTACTAGAGTTCTTGATTGGTGGCGCGTTGTCCGTTTTCCGTAAAGTTTAGGCCTTAGCCCCTTCAAACGTGTAGCGTCCCTGCTTTGTGATGGCACGAGTAGAGCTGTAGTTTAGGACGGGTGCTTGGCAGCTTTACATCGTGCAGTCCAGACTCCAGACCTTTTGTAAGGCTATTGAATTTGATACACGCCGGGTTCTGACGTCATGGTTACAGCTGCAACGCTAGACATCCTGTTGCCAAGTAAATAGGAACAGACGGCGTGAGGTCTTTGTGCTCTCAAAGGCTGATGTGCCTTTATGCAGGTCAGCCAGACAAGCAGAGCCACGCTGGCCTTCGGTGCTTGATGGACCGGAGTAGTTATAGCTTTCATGTCTCAATACGTAAGGCTGGCCGCTAGGTATGCGCCACAAATGTAAGGCACTCCAACGTCTGACCACCGTGGCTGTTTCTTCTGCATTAATCGCATCTCTTGTAGAATTGATCCTGTTGACTACGTTCTTGGTTTCTGCACCCGTTCGAGAGTGCTCTCGCTTGCTTTCTGGTCCTGCCGCAAACAATACTTGGACGCAAGAATGACGTGCAAACCCTGTTGTCGACGCCGGAACCCTTTGCCAACCAATGCAGAGCTCATACCTGCCATTCCGCTGCGCGAATGCTGCCTCCACGGCCTAGTGCCCTGACGTTTGCGGATATCCTCGCAGATGAATCATGCGCAGAGTATCTGGCTATGGAAGCCTGCGCCGCAGCTTCCGAGATAGCCATGACCCAGCATTACGCTGTCACTTGGACGACTCAAGTTGTTACAGTTGCGACATGCTGGGCCAATTAATCACGTCACCCATCGACATTTCAACGTCGCTGCTCATCAGCGATTATGCCAGCACCTTCCCTGACCCATCGTCGTGGTGGCGATTGGCTCGCGCTGGGCCTGTGCTTTTCGTTCAGAAGTAACGTGTGGCTCAGCTCGCTCCAGCTCTCTGCCTGCTCACCACATGTTGCTATGATAGCCGGAAGGAGCCGAGTTCGAATATGTTGACGTTTGTCATGATAGCGTTCTTCAAAGCGAATATTTGCAATGCTGTTGTGACTTACTGGTAAGAACAGAAGAGTCCCGGAAGTATAAAATCATGGTGAGTGAATAGGTGATACAGACAGGGACAGTAGTTGGCCTCCGTGCTTTCCTTGCTTGGATATGTGATGGAGTCGTGTTAACGTGATGGTCAAGTGAGGTGAGTGCTTGCTCGATCATGACGTGGAACATGAGGGAGCCTCTATGTCTCTTTTATCTGGCAACAAGTTTCTCAACGTAATACACAAGCGTACCTCGCCGAGAATCTTCAAATCTACCACTACAGCGCCACCACTACCGAGTACCTCCAACATGACATTCGGACGCAGTGCGCCCGCCGTACACTCGAACAAACTCCACCACCCCCTTCTCGCTACCAACCACGCTTTGCACACCTTATCCTCCTGTTCGTCCTCGGCATCTCGCCGTGATTCATCAGCAAGGGCACGCACAAAACGCACCTGCACTACTGAGTCGCTCTCGTTCGTCACCCGCTCACGCCCACCACCACATACTGGTAACTGATACCCTCCAGGTCGCCATCGACACCGTCATTTACCTGCCCGCGCTCGTTCTGCCCGCGGTGAAGAATTACAAGGGCTAATTCGCCCCCCCTGGCCTGGATACTGAGTTACCTCTGGCTTACGGCGTTTATCTTCGCGGCGCAGGACGACGAGTACAACGGCGGGTGTGCCATGAACTCGTCGCGGTTTGTGAGCAAGTGTGGCTTGAGGCGCACGCTCAAGTCATTTGCTTTCATCGCTTTGTGAGTACTTCCAGATGAATGTGGGTTTGAGCATGTGCTAATTGTGCGGAGCTTTACGAGCCTGCTTGGTACCCTGCTGGAGGCTAGTCTCTGGGATATCCAGCGCTTTGAGGGGACGCGTGCTGTCAGTGGCGGGCAAGGTCGTGGTGTTACGAGAAGCTCAGCACATATAAAGACTTTGCAACACTTCGAAAATTGCTCACGCCGGCATACATTGCACACTATCAATCTCACTTCGAACTGCTTCTTGATCGACCACCCTGCCAAATTCCCCTGGAAGAAAAGACAGGTTTGGACGTCTATTTCGACTTCAAGCTCATGGAGCACTCCTCGTTGGAGCACAAACGCTTCTCCTTCCTTCCTTCCTCTCTTCCTTTGTCAAGGCTTGGAGCGTACCTGCTCGGTCCAGAACCACCATCTGTATGAAGTGCTCTGCCAGACTGCTCCTTCAGGAGATTGAGCACCGACCGAGCTGCCGTCCGGAAATTCTGCAGCGATGTAGTCAAAACACTGAGCTGTTTAAAATGAGCTGTCAACAAGTTTAATCCAGTGTGTGGATGGCAGTCTTGCGGACGTCGTGTAGACCGAAGCTCGCTCAAGCCATGGTGGATCTGGAACAGCACCTCTCCATCAGGACGATCGGGGTTCCTAGCATCTCGAGATATCGTATCTTCGTCGTTGCATTTAATGCTGAAACGAGGGCCACTGCAGTGCCGAGGTTGAAGCTCCAAGTCGTCCTGCCCGTTTTGCGAGGAACCTTGCGAGTTGTTTAGTTTTCTTCGCTGAGGCCTGGACTGAGCTTATCGTCTGCAGAGTGTGTGAGAGGGGTGTGTCATCTTTTCCAATTGTCATGCGTGTTCGTAGACCTGCTGACACAACAATTGCTGCACCCTGGGCTTTTGTCCTAGGGAAATTCGACGTGTTTTGTGATTTATAGGCGGTCTGACAACGGCTTGCTAGTTCTGATTAGGTTGTGTCACAGATAAGAAGTGGCAAAATGTAGACTACGCTCATACCCTGAAATGAGCTGCTTATAAGGCTAAGTCTCCGCGACAGGTTGATGTCTTCATCGCTGAACCAGGGGGGGGGGGGAAAGGGGCGCGTTACGTGAGGGCAGAGATAGCTGTCTTCATCTATCGGAGCATATAAAAGAGTGTCCTTTAGGTAGGTTGTATACAAAAATGCGGTAGTTTTAGTTGATAGCTCTGCTGAAGTGAGAATCAACAGACATTGGAGGCCCTCGAGAGGAAAGCAACTAACGACTTTGCGCTTACCTGAGCTGCTCTGTACTGGCAACCGAAGACTTCTAACTCTGAAAAGGTAAATAGCGCCCGGTCTATCGTCGTAGCGCCACCGTTCTAAAATCCTGCGCGATGGGTCTCATGCTACCAAGCAGGTGCTACTTCTAGACAGCGTCACCGCAGACGGGACAGTACGATTGCAGCTCCATCCCATCGAGCCGACGTCGCTGACAGCATTCAACACGAATTTGATATCAACGTGTTTATTTTGGCACACCTGATTAGTGATGAAAGCTCCGTCAAAGTCTTGCGCAACGCCCTAGCGCTCCACTCAGGCCACTTTTGTTGTGCAGAGCTTCTGGAAGAAGATCCCGAGCGTAGTGTTGTCACTATCTCAGACATAACCTCATGTCTCTTCACATTCGCCGAGTACTGGCTGCGTGCCGGCACCTTCCCTCCCATCGGACTGCGTCTCTCATAATCCGATGCCGTCACCATTTACGCCTTTGCCGACGCGTACGTGATGCCACGCCGGCAAAACACAGTTATCGACCTTGTTCTCACCATGATCTTCGACGAACAGCTCTTCCCAATCTCTGCGCTGAATGATGTATACAGTAGAACAACGCCCGGCTACTCTTTCCGCAAGCTGCTCATCAATATAGCCATCGCAGTCTACAACTAGAAGGACCTGATGCTGAAGAGCGAACTAATACCAAGAGAGTTTCTGCTAGAGGTCGTCGAGGACATCAGAGGTAAGATTATCAGACTGGGTGGGCCGATCCTGTTCTTAGTGGAGATGTGGCACAGCACGATGTTGGTGTCGCTGTACAATTGGCATGAGCATGTTGAGCTAGAGCTGTACACTTGTGTGGATATCGAAGACGGGTATCTGGGAGCTGAGCACTGTGGCTCTGTGGATTGCGACGCGGAGATCTTTGACCATGGCGACACAGACGACCTCCCCAGTGAGCTGGACACAACAGACGAGCTGGAAATTGTAGATTCAAAGGAGTGCTGGCACTCGGCCCTGGCGCTGCGAACTCGTCGATCATCGCCTGAAGCGCTGTCGCTGATTGGATCCGACGCGCCACATTTACGGCTGGCACAGCCTTTGCAACACCATTTTGGAGCCTGGAACTCTTGCGCAGCAAATTCCACTGTTGGTCGGCGTGTGATTGTACTGGTCATACCAGAACTGCTGGTGGTTTGCTTGGACGGCCTGATCGCTTCCGTTGTTGAGCGCATGCTTAGCCAAATCGTCACTATCATACCCATTACAACTATGTCCATCAGCGCATTACTCAAGACCCAGACTTCTACTTATCATAGCCAGCCTAGCGTATAAGCGCTGACTAGCACGACAGGTGATCCGACGATACAGCTCCCTTTGACCGATTGTACGGACAACAACTCGGCACTCGTCAAGTCAGCGGAGCCCTGGGCTTCTGCTGCGTTGCTGGGCGGCAGTCCAGACCTTATAGTGCCGCAAGGTTTTAAGAGGCAGCGAAGAGCCGTACTTGAGAACATCGACTCCGTAATTGTGGGCAGTATGTCTTGTAACACGGGCCCAGAGACGGCTCCTGCGCCCAGCCAATGCCGCGAGTGGGATCAAGACTGCCATCAGGAAGGCTCTTGCACCAAATAACGCGCATCAGTGCTACACGACCACTGCGGTGTCGTCGGTCCGCAGGAAATAGTTTCAGGCTTTAGGCTGAGCGTCGCAAGTGCGAGCATCTGACCGCTTGTCGTGGGCGCTTGACCTCAGGCAAGCATCTATGAGCACGCTGCAGACTTGGTCTAGACAAGACGCGGGCTGTTGTGAGACAAACATAGCAGAGTCGAGAGTTGTGAAGGTTCTTAGTACGCAGTCTCCCGCACTCGTGACCTTGCGGTCGAAGAGCTCGTTCCGATGATGTTCCCTGCACGTGACTGGGAAAATTCCAAAAGTAATCTCCGCAGTTTACCCACTGGCCGGCAGTTCTTTCGGCAGACCAGCACATGGTATCTCTAGCCTCAGAAGCAAATGCAACTTTCAATTTTTTCTCAACGACTCCTCTGGCTGAATGCATACCCAGCCGCTCTAGTTGAAAGGAGTCGAGTACATTGGCCGATAGTGCACCCTTGGTGGGTGCGAATAGGCCAGCCCCCAGCCACCCTGGAGGGGAACACCACGGCAGTCGTAACGGCAGGGATAGAATTGCGGCTGTCGCTCAAGAAAAGTCTCCATACCGAGCACCCCAGATGATGCTGTACGAATCGGGGTGGGGACCCCACACTTGAGAATTCCGCCGACGCTAAAGAACACTTGCGTACGCAGGTTAACGACGAACCCGGTCTTCGGTGGACGGATGTCATGAGCTTAAGTACAGGATCAGTCCCCAATTTCTCTGAAGATTGACGAACGTTCGCTCTTCTCTCTACCAGCCAAGATGAAGTTTGACCATCCCGCATGGGCGGCACTGCTGAGCACGTCTCTCGCCCACGCCTCCCCATCAAAGCCACAGCAGTCGTCATGCTCTACAGACACGACGCCAAATGACTTCAATTCCACATGTGCCTCTCTCGCATCGAGACTTGAGGTTGAGAACGGGATTGTTTACTTCTCCGAGTTTGTGGCTGCAGGAACGAACCTGAGTCTGCCTGACAACAACGCAACATGCGTACAGCCATACATGCTTGTTACCGCAGACATCTGCCGTGTTTCGCTCCATATATCGACTACTGATCATTCTGGGTTCAATATGGAAGCTTGGCTTCCTTCAAATTGGACCGGGCGGTATCTAAGCACAGGTAAGGAAGATGGTCCGAACCATAATCTAATTGACTAATGATCGAACAGGCAACGGTGGTCTGAACGGCTGCATCAAATACCAGGACCTGGCATATACCACCGCAGCAGGATTTGCGGCTGCAGGAACGAATAACGGGCACAATGGAACGAGCGGTGAGCCCCTCTATAACAATGCCGACATCGTCGAAGATTTTGCGTACCGAGCGTGAGTTTTATTAGAACGTGAAATGCCGTCCAAGCTAACGTTCGCAGCATCTACACCGGTACAGTCATTGGCAAGCAAATCACCAAGGACTTCTATGGCAAATCTCACGACAAGTCTTATTACTTTGGCTGCTCAACTGGTGGTCGACAGGGTTTCAAGGCCGCGCAAGACTTTTCCGAAGAGTTCGACGGCATTGTTGCTGGTGCTCCGGCCATCTCGTTCAACAATTTGACGAGCTGGTCAGGCTCGTTCTTCCGCGCTACGGGAACCAACACCTCGGATACTTTCGTCACAGTCCCTCAGTGGGCGATCGTCCACGCGGATGTGCTGAAGCAGTGCGACCTACTTGATGGCTACGCTGATGGTATTCTGGAGTATCCTCCACTTTGCAACTACGACCCTTCTGGTCTGCAGTGCACTGGAAGCAGCAACGCCAGCACTTGCTTGAGCGCTAAGCAAGTCCAGACTGTTAAGACTGTGCTTTCCCCCCTTTACAACGACAAGGGTGATTTGGTCTACCCTCGTCTGCAGCCTGGTGCCGAGATCCTTGCCGCTGTTATTCTACTTGGTGGAACTCCCTTTCCCTACACCACTGATTGGCTCCGTTATGCTGTCTACAACGACACTACCTGGAGCCCGGCAAATTTGAACAGCACGGACTTCGACAATGCTGCACGCATCGACCCCGGAGGCATTCAGACCTGGAAGGGTGACCTGAGCGAAGCAAAGAAGAACTCGAAGATCCTGCACTGGCATGGTGCTATGGATGCTATCATCTCAAGCGCCAATTCTCCGAGATACTACGAACATGTCCGCGAGACGATGGGTCTATCCTCTGATGAGCTCGACGAGTTCTACCGCTTCTTCACTGTCAGCGGAACCGGTCACTGCGGCGGCGGAGATGGTGCGCACGTCATTGGTCAGGCTAGCGATGAGGTCACTACCTACGACCCTAAGGAGAACATATTGATGGCTATCGTCGACTGGGTTGAGAACGGCAACGCACCTGAGACTCTTATTGGCACCAAGTACGTCAACGACACCCAGAGTCTGGGTGTCAAATTCCAGCGCGCGCACTGCAAGTATCCCAAGCACAATCAGTACAAGGGCGAGGGCGACGCAAATTTGATTGAGAGCTGGGAGTGCGTTGATGCATAGGTCTGAGCAACTCCGTTAGCAGTCGAGTTGCCTTTGACAGAGCCGCATTCATTCCCTCATAATGCGATTGTCAGTTGATGGTCCTGCATAGTATGTCTTCAGCCCTTTATCCAAGTCCCTTGTGATTCTTTCAATCTCTCGAAACGCATAGTGCACATTCGAAACAGCTGTGAGCCTGTGCCAAGTAAGCTGTGCGATCACGACTGCTCATACCGATATCTCTCTGCAACGCAATCTCAACCTGAGGATCAGACAGCCATAAGTGAAGATCAAGGGAGGTCTGACTCGTGCGCAAGCTAAAACCGCTGCATCGAAACCGGCGATTGACATCCCCGTCGCTGCTCCAGACAGATCAGATGGAAGCCACCGCCAACCCCTCCTTTAGATTGAGGGAGCCAAGGGTACCGGCTTCCAGACCTGTAAAACGACAGATCACTCCATTACTTTGTAGGGAATGTTTGAGCGCCGATTGAGTGCAGATAATGGAGGGCCGGGGCTTGATTGGACATTTGTGTGAATCGCCCCGGCATGTCAACCACCGAACTCAAGCACCTCACAGTCAGGCGCGGGTTTGCTGAGTGAACGAACGAGCTACAGCATTTGACGATTGCTTAGGAGCTACGAACTGTGTGTTCAGCCCGCCGACACCTCTTTCTGCTACAGACAATGATCCTGACAAGGGCTGCGAATTCTAGCAAGAGACTGCGCGACCGCCCTGCAATACTTTCTTACTCATCTTGACAGCAGCATCACAACCATGAGCACTGGATGAGTGAAGGGTAGGCCAGACGAGTCTTCTCCTGCCAAAGAGAAAAGTATCGATTCTGGTCTGGCGATCTTGGAAAGAAGGGTTCGCATGTGCATTTCAATGGTCAAAGTGTGAGTCTGCCACGGGTGAGAAGATTGTTGATGGCGCAGAGGGCGCTCTTGGAGCAGCAGCGCGTTTTGGAACAAGGCTGGGAAGAAGGGATCCCGATCGACGCGAGACAACAAAGCGAGCAAGACGTATTGCGTGACATTGACTTGGGATCTGCAACGAAAGCGCTCGAGCATCTCAGCGCGCTGTACAAAGAAGGCACGCTCGGCAGAGTCGAAGCACACGCAGGTGAGTTCCATCGCAAGCGCGCTAGAGACATGGAAGCGATTTCTACGCTGGGCTATCCGATGGGAATCGCAGGACCTGAGTATCCTGACCCGGACGATGAAGGGATGCAAGTAAAAGGGTGTGGCATGCCGTGCGGTGCTGTGCCGTGCGGTGCTGTCTTTGTGAAAGCACGATCCAGGAAACTATACGCAGCGCGTCAACCGGTTCGACTCATGTCGTGACCCGAAGCAGCACAACGCGCAGCAGCCCTAAAGCAGCCACGCACCATCGCGAGACCCAAACACGACTCCCACCATCGCGAGACCCAAACACGACTCCCACCATCGCGAGACCCAAACACAGCTGCCACCATCGCGAGACCCAAACACAACTGCCACCACCCCGAATTGCCTCAACCCAACACCCCCGGCTGCTCAATCCAGCCTGCGCCACCAGAGCACACCCCTATACCCTCCGCCGCGCTCACTCCCGATCCTCAACCACGTCTCGCCCCCCTCGCTAACAACGGTGTAATTCCTCTTCTGCCGCGTACCAACCCAAGTCGGCACATTAGCCACAAGCAGCGGTCCATGAAAAAGCTGGCCCTGCACCTTGCTCGCGGGTAAATCGGCGTTGACGCTGAACGGCCCCGCGTAGCCGAGGCTGTGCTTGCCGACGAGGGCCCAGTCGGCGTCCGAGTCCGAGTCTTGGAACGGGAAGGTCAGGTTGGGACGGAAGGCGGGCTCGGTTGCGGTGATGGTCGCGGACATGTAGCCGGAGCGCGAGTAGGTCAGGAGCCCGACGGGGGCGGTGCCGTAGGCTGCGTCGGGGACGGGGACGTTGTTTAGGGTGCTGGTGCTGTTAGGAACGCGGGAGGGGTAGGTGGGGGGAGGGGGGACGGACCTGCTGGTGTTGACGAGGGTGTAAGTGCCCGCGAGCGCGTTGATGATGGATTGAGTGTTGTTATGTTTCGGGCCCGGGAGCGCCGAGGCCAGCGGCGCGGCGGCGAGGAGCACGACGGCGGCGGCGGCGGTGGTGGTGGTGAAGCGCATGGTGCTGGGACGGCGTAGCTGCACGCTTTGGAAGTCTCAATGTGCTTTACGGCCCTGAGCAATCGAGTCCGGTTTTTCCGGCAGCGGGTGTGCCTGGCTCCTTATACCTGACCCCTGCCCGCACGCCTCCGCTGCTCGCTGCTACATGTGTATTCCTCCGAACGCAGGACCTGAATACGAAAGGGTCTGGCAGGAAGGCATAATTGTGTAATACGCGCGTAGTCAAAGCGCGGCGTTTCGCAGCCAATCCGGCGCTGTCCAAGTTCGGGCATTCGCCGCATTGGTGAACTCCCAAGAAGTTTCAAACAAAGTAGGCGTATTTCCGAGAAGGCGCGATTGATGTGCTCTCGCGGGGCTTCTTGAAAAAGCCGCGGATCGGCCTATCAGGGCCGCCTATGACGTTATCTTACACAACCACACCGATTGCGCAGAGCGTGAGAGTCGATGAGGAAGGTTGCAGTGGTATTCGGGTGTAACGGGCGGCTTGCACGGCCAAGGATAACCCCGGACTACCCCACAGCACTAGACGTAGCCCAACGGTCTCGTCGAGCGCTCCCGGGCTTGGTACTTTGTACATTGTGAGGTCGCGCCTTAGCTGGAAGACTCCCGAACGACTCCAGACTCGTGTATAGAGTCGTCGAACAGCATGAGCTCTTGGAATGTACGAGCAAGGTCGTCCATTGTCGCCCGAAGCACAGCCGGGAAAAGAAGCTCCAGCTCGGATCGGTGGCGGCTTGGTGCACGACGATGCTGCTCAGACGGATCACGGCGGCGTTGGAGATGCAGCTTGTGGCGAGCTGGCGGGGCAGGCACGTGCGGTAGTTGTGTGCGAGGCGCTTTAGTTGCTTGACGGAGGCAGAGACGACGGTGCGAGGTGTGCTGTCGGCTGAGGAGAAGGAGCGTAACCGGATGATCTTTGGTGGGTCGAGAAATGGTCGGAAGAGGGTTGGTACAGTCGTGTGGAACAGGGCGCTTGAAGAGGTGAGAGGCGTCTAGACAGAGGTGTCTAGATAAGGGTCACAGTGATGTGTACTGGAAGAGGTATACGTGGGAGACGCTGTTGGAACTGTTGCTGGGCGAGATGGGGAGTGTATCTGCCCATGCTAGTGGGTGCTGATATTTTGCTTCGGCAAAACACGACATGTCCCTCTCGACGAGAGGGAGGTGCGTCGTCCTCTGTATTGCATACCGCCAGGATTTCTTGCACGATGGTCCAGAACTTGCACATGGCAGTACACGTCTGGCCGATGTAGTTTGGTGCCTGATGCGCGGGCTCGAAGGCGTCGGAAGCGGCGAAGAGGTCGGGGTTGTCGCCAGGGATGGGGAATCTCGGCGGGTACCTGATCGAGGGCTTTGGGAAGAAGCTTGCGAGAAAACTGCACGAGATGAGCGTACTGTCCAGTAGTCTCATGCTTGGGTCTCGTACGATTGACAGCCATAGCTGCCCCAGGCTACGTGAGCCTGATCTCGCATCTCGTCCTCGCTCAGATCCCGGAGATGGTCGATCGACGCGTCCGTTGGCGGAACATGGAACAGTTGAATCCGGGTAGCCATTGCGCTAGCATCTCCAACCAGCTCGTGGTTCCCCGGCTGGTTCCGGGCATTCCAGCCAGTAGCCACCGAGAGGCAGTTGAGGGCCGCCAGCGTTGTGGCCGAATCGGTCAAACGTTCGGCGTGCCAGAGCTTGATCGCTTCCTCGGTGAAGGCGGTAGCGAAGGGTGCGACCCGCAGCTCTACTGTGCTGTACGATTGCTGCGCTGGTCAAAAAGCGTTTTTGAAGAACGGCAACTTGTAGACATACGCAGGCGAGCGACATGACAGCATGGAACAAAAAGGACGAGCAGAAGCCCAGGCCCTGCTCGACCAAGTCGCGAAGAAAGAGATGGGCGTCGAAGAAACCAAGCACCGGGTGATCGGTCTCGAGGAAGTGTGATATCGCTCGAGCTGCGAGTCTGCTGTCGATTGGTATTCGCGTCCAGTAGCTTACTGCGAGGAGTTCCAGACGAGGATCGCAATACGTGTAGGGCTCGGGGGGAGACATGGGAGTACCGCTCGGCGAGGAGCCGCCCATCAGACCTGCTGACGCCATCGACGACGGACTTGGTGGAACAGGAACCGGAAAGGCCGTTGGATGGAGCATCACTAGCTCAAAGTCGATGGCAGTCTCGGCCGACGGCATGACGGCGCGTGCCAAAGCATGCTCGGATGCCTGGCTGGAGCCGCCTATGCGACCTTGGTAGGCTGAAAGCACGACCGAGAGGTCCTCAGCCGACCGCAGTCTGTGGACAATGGCCAGGACCTCGTCGTCTGGCGCGCTGCGAATGCTCTCTAGCAAGTCGGCGTGCTCTTGCAATCGGCGCTGGAGGCTCTCTAGCTCGCTCTTGAGAGCCATGGTTGGAGTAGCATCTGCATCGTCGGATATATAGACGCATGGCACGCGGGACCGCAGGCAACGTGCACAGTCGGGTCGCGCGCCATCGCACTATGACAGGCTGTCAGCATCCGGGGTCGTTTCCAGGCAGCGGGCACTACGCGGGTACCCAAGAACGGCGATGCGCTAATCGGCACCAGGGTACGACTCGGGCCTACTTACCCCTACTCTTTTCACACGGCAGTGGTTGCAGGCTAGTCGAGCTTTCTTCTTTCTCTTTCGCGGCTCGCTGCCACTTGGTTCCAGCGGTCCGCCTGGTGGTGCGGGGGCAAGAGGTCTGAATGAAGGTAGCATATTTGCTCCGACGTGTGGCTATTCCGCCTGAAACCCCAGAGGATATGTAGTCGGGTCTACTGAGCCTGGGATGGATATCGTCATGTGGATACAGCACTACAGGAGAAGGATATCGTCATGTGGATACAGTACTACGGGAGAAGGAGAGGAATGTCTGTACGATATGAGCCCTGGATACTCCCGTACACGCAGGCCGTAAGCCGTTGGGATCAAAGGCCGACCAGATCGTTGTATGTAATCGGCTTGACGGATCGATGGTGCCGGAGCGCTAGCAGTCGATGTCCACGAGGTTGTGAGATCCTGGAGGGCTTGGGAAGGCCTTTTGGCGTCGGAAAGCAGCTGAGACCCATCATGTCAGAAAGCGATCGTGAGATCAAGACGCAAGGCTATTGGCTCGGAGAATTCTTCCGTGCCGCCGAACCGCTAGCCTTCACCGATCCAAGTAGCGGTATTCCTAAAGGAACAGGTGCATGTCCTGCACGACACACGCGTTCCGAGAGTCGCGGGAGCCGACTTTGGTAGCAACATTACCAACTATGACGATACGGTGGGGCGTGAGGCTGATTGTCGCGTGCAAAACCCTGGATCCCTCTAGTGTCCGTGATGCTCGCTGACATGCATCTCCAGACCTGAGCCGAGTCCACTCGGCCGGCAGCAACGCCATCCCGCAGCGGGGGCCGGAAGCGCGGTCGGCGGGTACGCGCAGGCTTCCCCAGACGCGGTCCATTGCAGGCTTCCCCAGACGCGGTCCATTGCAGGCTTCCCCAGACGCGGTCCATCGCGGGCTCCGTCATTCGGGGGCACGGTGTTTGTAGATGCACGTCACCGGCATCATCTGGATTCTCTATGTACTGGTGTGGTACCTGGTGGTCCGTGTGCACTGCCAGCGCTGTGTGCATCGAGCCGCCGACTGCATCACTTCATGTCCACATCCTTGGCCTCGCTTTCTTTTTCTTGCTCGGCGACCCCGGTCTGGAGCTGCTCCTCGGCTGCCTTGTCGTCCTCGTTCGTCTCTCCTGCATCTTCCATCTTCTCTCCTGCATCTTCCATCGTCTCCCCTGCATCTTCCATCTTCTCCCCTGCATCTTCCACCGTCTCCCCTGCATCTTCCATCGTCTCCCCTGCATCTTCCATCTTCTCGTCTTTGGACTCTGCGCCAGGCGCTGTGGCTCGTCCCGGGCTCCTGCTCGAGCGCTCAAGGCTGGGGCGTCCCACTGCGCCTTCAATGTCGAGCGATGCGCCCTGCTTTTGCGGGCCGGTATCTTCCAGCCCAATGGTCTCAGGTCCCCTGGCGTGCGGGGCCTCTTCTTCAGCCTCGACGGTTTCGACAACGGTGGCGCCGCCCTCGCTTTCGCCAAAGCTTGTCCGTGTGGGGCTCGTGGTCAGCGAGTGCGGATTGTTGAGGACAATGCCGGCCTGCTGCTCCTGGCGCAGCAGCTCGCCCTGGGTGACGGGCCCGGTCGACGGCAGTGTTTCGCCATCGGGGTGCGAGGAAGCAATCTGCGACACGGGAGACGAGGCGGCTGGCTCCTGGCGTGGAGGCTGGCCGCTGAGCATGCCGACGGTGACCGTCTCAATGCGGCCGGCGCCGTTGGGCCCGTCCACCATCTCGGTGCTCTCTGATATGAGCTCGTTCTGGCCTCGACTGTGCAGCCATGGGATGGGTGTGAGCAGGGCGCCGCCCAGCGACTCGTCGGAGCCGAGCGTCGCAGCGTGCGGGTTCGGCGCTGCGGCTGTGCCGTTCAGCAGGCCGCTGGCGCTGGGCAGGACGGCCTGGGGCAGCGGGAAGACGGCGAGGGGCGAGGATACCGACACGACGCGGTCGAGTGCGCGGAGGTAGGGCGAGAGGTGCTTGTAGCGTCGCTTGGGCTCGAGGACGAGCTCGGCGAGGCGCTGGACTGTGTGCGGGGGTTGCTTTGCAAAGTGCAGCGACAGTGCGTTGCGGATCGAGGCGTACAAGGACGTGGTGGCGGGCGGGAGCGCCTTGGACTCGGGCGCAGGCCGGACGGGCACGGGCGGCGGGCGCGGGGGCGTTGTGGGCGGCGCATTCTCCTTGTCGCGGGCGGCGGCGGCGGCGGCGGAGGCGGCGGCGGCCTCGGGCTTGGGCGCTGCGTCTGCGGGCGCGGGGGTGCTAGTGTCTGCGGGCGCGGGGGTGCTGGTGTCTGCGTCTCCGTCTGCGTCTGCGCTGGTGTCGGCGGGCGGCTTGGGGAACTCGTGGATAATCTGCCCGGGTCAGGCTGGGGCGTCTTCGGGCTGGAGCGCGCGCCTCACCTCGTCCAGGCGGTCCAGAATGTACTGCAGCGTCGCGGGCCACTCGGCGCTGCGGTCGGACGTTAGCCAGGGTGGTTGCGATAACTGCTGGCGACACTCACGAGTCCAGCGAGCCGTCGGCGGCGGCGCGTAGCAGCGATGCTTGTCCTGTGGGCAGTCAGCGTGTGACGTGCAGGCGGGGCGGGGGGTTATGCGAGGCACGTACCGGTGGGCGTGCTGGTCGTGTTGGTCGTGCTGGTCGTGCTGGTCGTGCTGGTCATGCTGCCGGCGCGGTCGCGGTCGCAGTCGCGGTGGTGCGTGGGCTGCGATGACGGTGGGCCTGGGAGAGTCCGCCGGGCAAGCTCCACTGACGAAGCTGCGCCACAGCACGAACGGGGCGATGGTCGGGACAGGCGTATCAGTGTTCGTCCAGCCGGCGCAAAATCAGCCCTGGCCCTGGCCCTGGCAACAGAGGCTGAGCCGCACAGCCGTCTGGATGTCGCTGTGTCGGGCGCTGGCGCTCGCTGCTGGCCTCGTCGACGTGAAAAGGACAGCCTGCGCGCATCCCTCTGCGGACTGTTTGCCCGCCCCCAGCTGTCCACTCGCCGTCGCCGTCGCCGTCGCCGTCGCCTTCGCCGTCGCCGTCGCCGTCGCCGTCGCTGTTCTCCACAGTCGACCCTCGAGGCTCGCAGGGACCTCGCATTGAACACCTCGCGCTGAACGCCTCGCATTGAACACTGCACACTGCACACTGCACACTGAACACTGCACACCTCGCATTGGACACTGCACACCTCGCATTGGACACTGAACACTGCACATCTCTCACTGCACACCTCTCACTGCACACCTCACTGCACACCTCGCTCTGCACACCTCGCTCTGCATCTTTTGTTGTTTCAAACTGCGCTGCGCTTCCCGCCGTCGTCGCGCCCAAGCCCCGGCATTCCGTCGTCTGATCACCTGTTCGGCTTGGCCTCTCCGCACAGCCACGCTCCAGCTCGGTTTCACCAGCGCTGCGCCGCGCCGTTGTCATTCGCCTGGTACGCCGCCATCCGACTGACAGCCGTCGTCTCAGCATCAGCTGCCCAGCGCGCAGCACCGTCGCCAACGCCGTCCCAGCCGCGCCCTCCAGCCCTGCGACCAACACGACCCTCCCGCACGCTCCCTGTATCCCCTCGTCGCAGCCGCTCTTTATATCCCCCCCGTCCCAGCCGCACTCCGCGGCTGACCCCTTCGCCAACATTACGCACCACGAGGCCCGCACATCCCTCCTGGGAGGCCCACCGCTCGACGGCGACTACGCGCCCTACGCCAACCAGTACGTTGCGCGCCCGCCGCCCTTTGCCGCCGCGCCGCCCGGCGGCTACCACGAGCGCGAGGGCTTCCCGACCACGCTGCCTCCACCCGTCCGCCGCGCCCCCAGAATGTACATTCCCAACACAAAGTGGACGTGGTCCTTCTCGGCCATCGCCCTCGTCCAGGCCGTCGTCGCCCTGTCGCTCGAGTCGTACGTCTTTGGCCGCTTCCAGAGCGAGCTGCACTTTGAGGCCCACAATGTCAACAGCGACGCCCGCACGGTCCCCACCTACCTCGCCGTCTTCATGTTCGGCTACCTCTACCAGCTGTTCCTCGTCTGGGACGCCCTGCGCCTGAAGAACACCATCCAGGTCATCGGCCTCGTCATCTACAACGTCGGCATCATGGTCTACGCCGCCATCCAGTACGACCAGATCCTCGACGCCTCGTCGGCCCTCGAGCGGCAGCACTTCATCCCCACCGACTTCTGGACCGACGTCAAGGCCATGCTGATTGCCGTGCCCGTCCTCATGGCCGCCGCCACCTTTGCCTTTGCCTTTGTCGCCTGGAAGCTCTACGACGAGTTTGCGTGGACCATCTACAAGAACATTAGCGCCGACCTGCGCCTGAAGCGCCGCTACTTGACCTACCAGGTACCGCCACCCGTCCCCCTCCTGTCCCCTCCCGTCCCCTCTTGTCCCCTCCTGTCCCCTCCCGTCCCCTCCTGTCCCCTCCTGTCCCCTCCTGTCCCCTCCTGTCCCCTCCCGTCCCCTCCCCGCGCCGACCACGCTGACGTGACAGATCTACATTGCCCTGCTCAAGTTCGACTTCTTCTTCTTCCTCGCCTTCACCGTCCAGTTCCTCGTCGTCGTCGAGAAGACGTCGACGGTCGAGGTCGTCCTCACCGCCGCCGCCCTGGTCATCACCTTCTTCCTGCTCTTCGCCGCCGCCTTCTGGGTCCGCCGCGAGTCGATTGCGGGCATGGTCTGCTGCATCGTCGTCTACTTCATCGCCCTGGCCTACTTTCTGTTCAAGCTGATCCGCATGTACGTTGCCGACTCGAACCGCCAGGAGGACTACAAGCCCGCCCGCAAGTCGCTGACGGCCTTTGCCATTCTGACCATTATCCTGCTGCTCATGACCATTGTCATTGCCTGCATCTGCACCCACAACTTCAACAAGGGCCTCAAGCCCCACGTCAACAAGAAGTCGGCCAAGTCCGACAAGGCCTACGGCACCGAGATGCCCTCTGTCGCCGGGCCCCAGCCCAATCAGCGCATGGAGATTGACTAGGAGAAGTCTGTTGTTTGACTGTTTTACGACTTATTATACCCATACCCCACGCACTACTGTACATAGGCTGCGAATGAATTTATCGAACGCTTGGTTTTATGTCCATTTCTTTTTTGTGTTTTTCGTCTTTTTCGTGTCTTTCATGTGTCTTTCATGTCCATGTCTTTCATGTCCGTGTCTTTCATGTGTCTTTCATGTCCATGTCTTTTTCGTGTCTTTCATGTCTTTTTCACGTCCATGTCTGTGTCTTTTTCATGTCCACGTCTGTGTCCATCTCGCAGTGACCACGCACCCCAAAATCCAAAAATACCCAGCACACCCAACCAGTGAAGAGCACTACTACAGATTAACTAGGCAGTCAATGTAATTTTTTTTTTTAAAAAAACGCCTGCTTCTCACCCATGCCTATATCTACACCCATCTTACAGCTACCCATACACCCCAAAATCAAATCAGCCCCCAAGCACACCACAAACAGCCAAAAGCACAACACGCGACTTGTCCTGAGCCGCCAACAAACACAAACGCGCTTCGCGTCCCGCTTCCCCAGTCATCGCGCCGCGCCACGCCGCGGCTGCAGCGCCCCACGCAGGGTCCACTTGCTGGTGCGGCGGCGCCACGGTACGACGGTGCGTGGGAAAGTTTAGGGGACTAGGGGACTAGGGGACGTCCCTTGCTTTACCTATAGACTTACTTTTTATCTTGTGTCAGAGTTTGGCCTTCTCTGGCGCTTCTCCAGGTGTTCTTTTCTTCTGCACTGCTGTCTGCACCTTGTCTGGAGTCCTTTGCACATTGCGATTGAAGCGTGGATAGAATGGCGTTTCGCTGGTGAGTCGCTGCAACAACGCAAACCAATGCGAGGGATAGAATGCGATGCGATGGGATACAGCCAGCTGACGCCCATCTCCAGGTACCAAGCAAAGCTCAAGAGCGCACCGCTCGCAACCCAGGCCATCACGACCGCAGTACGCACCCTCCCCCTCGCTTCGCCTCCACACCCGTTGACACTGACACGCCAGATCCTCTTCGGCACCGGCGACACAATGGCGCAGCAGCTCGTGGAGAAGCGCGGGTGGAAAGCGCACGACGCGATGCGCACAGCGCGCATGGCCGGGTACGGCGGCGTCATCTTCGGGCCCGCGGCGACGACGTGGTACGGTGTGCTGACCAAGTACGTCAACACGCGCAGCAAGAACGGTACTATTCTTGCGCGTGTTGCGTGCGATCAGTTCTTGTTTGCGCCTGTGAATATGGGTATGTGTCTCGTCTCGCACCCTACAATGTCCACGTACTGACCTCCCGCCCCCAGGCCTGTTCCTCTCCACAATGGCCTACCTAGAAGGATCCTCCATATCCACACGCCTCGAAACCGCATACATCCCCGGCCTGACCAAGAACTTCATGGTGTGGCCGTGGGTGCAATTCGCAAACTTCAAGTACGTGCCCGCCGATCTGCGCGTGCTGGTCGTCAACGTCGTCTCGCTGGGCTGGAACTGCTACCTCAGCGCGCTGAACTCGGGGGGTGGGAGTAAAGTCGAGGCCGCCGTGGTCAAGGTCAAGGAGGCCACGCAGACGGGCGGGAGTAGGGAGGGGGGACAGCTGCCGCCGCAGTAGGATGGCGGTTTGGGATTTGGCTGGGTGGGAGCGGGATGGGTGGTGGCCGGGTGAGTGTAGATTGTATCCGAGTGAGTGTACATTCACAAGCTACTTGAATTCCACAACGTACTCAATCCTATGCATCCTCTGCATTTTCCATCGTGGACCCGCTCACAAAGTTCCACATCAGCAGTCACCTGCCATCGCGCCTCCCTCCCATAACCCCGGAGCACAGACATCCCCACACCGCATGCGTCTGGGACCACCCCGCGTGCGTCTGGAACCACCCCGCGCCAGCAGCAGCAGCGCAAACACCGTCTCCAGCGCGAGGGCGTTGTGCGGCGCTGGCGTAGGAGACGGGATACGCGCATGCGCTGGACAGGAACGCCGTCTGGGCAGGGCAGGACGGGGCAGGACGGGGCAGGACTGGGCAGGACGGGGCAGGACTGGGCAGGGCAGGACAGGGCAGGGATGACATGTGTCCGACAGCAAGGTACGATTCCGCAAGACCGTCTCACGGCGCGAAGAACGGGATAATCACTCCCGCTCCCAAGCAGCGGCGACATCACCTCCAAGCCACAGACACCAGACCCAGCCATCTCAGTACTCCATTCATTTCCAAACCACCCATCTGTACACTACCCTACGCTACACTCCCCTTGAAACCCCCGCATCAATCTCCATCAGCACCCCTGCGTGCCCTTGCACAACTCCACTCGTTCAAAAAGCGCTTGCAGCGCTAGCTGTGAATAAGAAAAGGAAAAAAAAAAGGTACAAAGTGAAGTAAAGATTAACAGGCCAGAGACGGCCGCAGCGCAGTAAAAAAAGGGGACGACGCCGTGCCGGGGGATGAGAAAACGCCAGCTAATGCAAATATTATCGATACACCTCGCTGATGCTCTATCCAGCGATGCAAGCAAGAACGCGAACAAAAACGACATTTCCATCTGTGCTCTCCGCTGGTAGTTGTTGGTGTTGGTGTTGGTTGGTGTTTGTGTTGCTGACGGCGCGTGCACATCTGCCGAGGCGAACAATGTTCAAGAATGTTGGCGCCCGTCCGAGCGAGCTGTTCATTTCCCTGCTCGTCTCCTGCCCATCTGCCGGAAGAAGTCCATGACCTTCTTGCTGCTGCCGGAGCTGCCCTTGTTGCCACCCGTGCTCTCGTACGCATCCTCAAACTTCCTGTGCTTCTGGAGCTTGCCGCCTCGCTGCTCTGGCTCGCCGCCCATGCCCTGGGGGTACTGTGCGCGCTGCGGCTGCGATCCATGAGACTGGGTGGGTGTCATCTGCTCGCTAGCCTGGCTGTCGTTAGGAAGCTGTCCGTACGGGCGGTTGGGTGCCTGGCTGGGATGGACCTGTCGGGGGTTGGGGAACTTGTCGTCGCCGACAGGGGCCTGGTCGGGATAGTTGAACTGCGTCTGCTGAGGCGGTGCGGACGACGGGCCCGGTGCGCCGTGGGACTGGGTGCTGGCGTTGGGTTGACGGATGCGCGAATTGCTGTCCTGCTGGCCATCGTAGAAGCCAGCTACGGCGTTGCTGCCCATGGTGCTCCGACTAGGAGAACGGGACTCTGCGCCGCGACCGAATGCCATGCCAGACCGGGAGTTGTTGCGGGCTCGGCCAGCGTTGGAGCCGCGGCGTTGGCCGTAGCCATCAGTAGGCATGCTCTCTCTTTGAGAGCCGAAGTTCTTTGAGAAAGAAGATGGGAGCAGTGAGAAGCGGCGGGATGTCTTGGTGCCGTCATCTGTGTTCTTGCGCGTAAAGCTGAAGGATGGGCGGCGTCTTGAGTCTGTGCTGGGTCGTGGTCCCGACGAACCTATCGAGTTGTCGTTCGACATGGCTGCGGGCATCGAGGTGGGTGGGTACCTCTTCTGCTTGCGCTCCTCACCTTGTTGTCCGTACGAGTCCTGGGACGTGAACGATGCCTTCGGGTCCTGTGCGGAAGAGTTCTGACGGCCACCGAACATGGACGTCATACGGCCAAGCGTCTCCGTCACCGTGTTCGAGCGCTTGTGGCCACCCTTGGCATGTCCACCAGTAGGTCCAACCTGGGTCGACTGCACCCGCTGAGCGCTGGGCTGCACAATGCTCGGCTCACCCATTACCGCAGGCTCTTGTGGAGGGTATGGGGCAGAGATGGAGTAGGTCTTCTTCTGGGGTTGCGAGAAGCGACCTTCGGCGTTGGTGGGGGCCACGGTAGCGGCTGCTGGCTGCGCGTACGAGTTGCCTCGTGATGGCATCCGCGAGCCACCAAGGGTGCCGCCTGTCGACGGCCGTGTCGTCGCCGCGGGCGCAGTGCCAAAGGCAGTGTAGTCGGACACTGATCTCTGGGGCTGACCAACTGGTCTAGGTTGTGGAGCAGCTGCTGCGGCACCAGCAGAACGAGGAGGCCTCGAGCCAGACGCTGATTGGTAGCCATCTGTGGTCGCGGTGGTGACCTCGACAGGTACTTGTTCGGCAGGGCGAGCTTTTGGCATGGCCTCGACAGCTGGTGATGCTTCGCCGCGCTGGGTCTGCGATTGAGGAGCAACGTATTCGACTTGAACGGTTCGGCGCTTGTTGTCGCGAGACGTCTTTGGCTTCTCGGCCGTCGAGTTGATCTGCTCCCGCTTGTTGGCAAGGCCGCCGTGTGCGGACGGAGGCGCTTGGGTCTTGGTTGGCTCGCGGACAGATGCACTTCTTGCAAGAGGGGGCGGCTGCTCGAATGGCTCTTCTGCGGCGGTGTTAGTACAGCACTTTTGGTGACCCTCTGTGTTCTCTTACTAGCATAGACGGAGCCTTGCTGCGGCGCCTCGGCGGCATTGCTGGTGGTGATGAAGCCCACGACATGTGCGTAGTCTGCCAACCAGCTGTGACGCGCAACCTCGAACAGATCGGCGCGTTTCCGTGGATCGGGGACGAGGATCCTCTTGAGCAGGTCTCTTGCGTGAGGTGTGACGTATTCAGGGAAAGTGAGCGGGGTGGAGACGATGTACTTGTACAGGAGGTTGATGTTGTCACCCTCGGGGTTGGCCGGGTCGTCGTCGAAGGGCAGGTAGCCAGCCAACATGGCATACTGTCGATTGTTAGCTTGCGAATATCAGAGTACGTCTGAGCGGCTCACCAGAATGACACCACAGCTCCAGACGTCGACCTTGCAGCCGGTGTAGAGCGAGTCGCTGACAACAAGCTCGGGCGCCGCATAACAGGGACTGCCACAACTAGTCTGCATGAGGTCGCCGCGGCGTGTCTCGGGGTTCTCCAGACCCATCTGCCGTATGAAGTCCTTGTCGCCCAGTCTGTACTCGATCTCCTCGCTCAGCTGGTCCTTGGGATCGAAGGTGTTGGCGAAGCCAAAGTCAGTGATGATGATGTTCTTGTTGCGGTCCAGCAGCAGGTTCTCGAGCTTCAGATCTCTGTGCACAATGCCCCTCTTGTGCAGGTAGCCCACGCCGGAGAGGAGCTGGGCAAACAGCTTGCGCGCGGGACCGTCCTTCAGGTAGCGGTGGTTGAGGATGTAGTCGAACAGCTCACCACCCGATGCATACTCGAGAATGATGCCAATGTGTCGCTCCGTCTCGACCATCTCGTGCAACCGAACAATATTCGGGTGGTCGAGGCCGCGCAGGATGTGGATCTCGCGGTAGATCTTGGCCAGGCGGTTCGAGTTGCTGCCCAGCGTCTCTCGCCTGATCAGCTTGATGGCCACCTCGACGCTGCTGTCGCGCTTCCAGCCCATCTTGACCTTGCCGAACTCGCCCTCGCCAAGCGTCTGGCCCAGGATGTAGTTGCCAAACTTGGTGCGCTTGACCGAGCCCTCGCTCTTCGAGTGGTCCTGCCTGCTCTTGCCGCCAGCGCCGCGGCCGCCGTCGTCGACGCCCTCGCTGCCCACGAGGCCGAGGCCCGTGATGGGCGTCAGGTCGGCGGCGGCGCCCACGGGCACCCGCTCGGCCTGCCGCGCCTGCTCGCGGGCGATGTCGTCCTGGGGGTCGGAGACGCCTATCCTGTTGATGATGGCGCTCTCCTCGCGGGGCAGGCTCGTGCCGATTGGGGGCTGCCCAATGGCCGTGGCAGAGCGGCTGTGTCCGGACTGCGGACGGCTCGCGCTGCCCTCGTTGGGTCGCCGGCCGGACGGGGCGCCGGCGGTGCTAGTACGGTGCGATGAGGTGCGCGGGGGCGGCATGGGGCCGCCGACGGGGGCGGCGGTGCTGGGGCTCATGGCTGGGGAGTGGTGCTGCGTCGACGGCGGCTGCGCGCGGGGCGTGCTGGGCGCCGTGTTGGACGCGCTGGTCGAGGGTCGGCGCGCGCGGGGGGGCTGCTGGTAGTGCTGCTGGCCATGCGCCTGGGCAGCGACAGCAGCAGACATGCTCTGGCGGTGTGTCGGGGGGGGCTGTCGGCGCGGGGCCTGCGCTGGTCGGCTGGCTGCAAGTGTGGGCACGCCCGTGCTGCACGGTGCAGAGGCCGGGCGGCGAGACGGCGAGGTTCTACGCAGGCAGACTGCGCGTGCAGTGCTGCGGTGCTGCGGTGCTGCGGTGCTGCGGTGCTGCGGTGTGGGCCTGCGATGGCCGTTGGCGCGGGCGCTGGCTCTGTTGTCGGGCAGCGGGTCGCAGTCGCGCTGAGAGGACGGGTGGGCGGTGGGCGATTGGCTAGGGCTCTGGAGGAAGCCTTTCACGTGGGAGCCGAACAACGCTGCGGGCTGGGGGCTCAACCGTGGATCGTTGCAGAACGCAGAACGCAGAACGCAGGACGCAGGCAGACCAAACTACGGCGCAGGACAGCTCTCGACGACGCTCGACAGAGGACCCGTCGTGTGCCTGACGTGCGTGGAGAGAAGTGAGCGGATGCAGCGCGAGCGGTCGTCAGGCGCGGCTGGGGCCAGTCTTCTAACGAGATTGAGCTTGCACCGGCTAGGAAGAAAGGAGAGCATCAACCACAGCTCGGCCTAACATCAGCCGTACACAGTACATGGACATGGCACGCCCAGCATCATGCTGTGAGCAGCAAGCATCTTCCTATCTCCCCACCGCCGGGTCTGACCTGGCGAGCATGAGCAGTGAGCACTACGTCTGCCCTTCCCCCGGCACGCGCTGCTCGCTGCTCAACTGCTGGCTTCGACGCGCCTGCCCGCGCTGCTAGCCACACCAGCTGCGTCTCCATTCGACGGCGAGCCAGGATTACGGCAGGGTTACGGGCACCTTTGAAACAGCGACGACCTGTCCAGTGCGCAGATTGCACTTCATGCGGCACTACGCGCGCCTCGTGCTGTGAAGGCCACCACGACTGTCATGACACTGCACCTGCGTCCACGGCCGCTGCTCGACCTCTCTGACGCCCTACCAGGAACGCTTCACCATTGCTTCTGCTGCATCCATGACGTGACACTTGAACGCGAGACGCTGACACCGCCGCGGCTGCCCCTGATGAGCCCACTGCGCGCGCCCTCGCTGCCCGCAAGGAACCGCCATCGCAGACCGCCCCAGTGCACTCTAGCAAGGCATACGTCCACCAGGTCACGACGTTGTCTGTCATCGTGTCTCAGCCGCGATGCTGCAGCCTGCAAGGGAAAGCGCCCTGCATGGCTCCCGCCAACTCGCGTCTGCGCCCAATCACCACCCTGACTGCACCATGACTAGAAACGCCCGTCTCCAACATCTTTCCAGGCATTATCATTGAGCAGCTGTCAAATTTGATCCTTCCTCTCTCTCTCTCAAAAAGAATCATCATCGAGCATGATCTGGCGCGATGACGCACCGCCGCCCGAAGCTGCAAGACTCCCCCCAGGGTATGTTTCTTTTCGGAAATTGGAAGACGCTTTGATCGCCCTTGCCGTATGTCACCTGGCCCACTCCTTCCCGCTTAGCCTTTCCGGCTGACTCGACTCTTTGGGCTCACGACCAATTCTGTGCACCCTACAATGTCTTATATCACTGGGATGCGCGGACAAGATGCAAAGGGCGAGTTCGTGTCGACGTCACACAGCGGAAAATGTTGGGCCTTGGAGTCATATCATTTCTCTCGCCTTGACGGCCGTTGCATCTCCTGCCGTAGTGCGGCACTTGTACTGCCGCGTTTCCATGGTACGCCTCTCACATTTTGATTTCATTTGGGAGGCTGATGTCCATAATGTCCTTGCCGTCTTGAAGGGCCTTCTTGCCTGGCATCTTCCCTCTCCGCATCAACTCCGCACTCTGCTACATGTTAGCGTTGCACTTCTAAACAGCGGACGCGTCGCGTCGAAGGCGCAGTACAGTCGCCCCAAGTTGGTTGGATTTGACATACCTGCGTCATATAAGGATCCTTCATCATCGAGGCCACCGCGACGACCTCATCTCCGCTCGTGTAGTATGCGACGAATGATGGCTTCTCAATGTCTCCTTGCAGCACAACGTCGTCGTAGCCGTTGACCGTGTTACCGCAGTATCGCAGCTGCGAGCCGAGGGCTGACCAGAAAACAGGTATGAACGCCTTGGGCTTGGAGCCGGGCTCGTTGATCGACATGGCCACCGAGCGACCAGCGTTCTGTGCAACGTTCCAGTGCTCAATGCGTACAGGCTTGCCGTTGCCTCCGGGTCCGTGGTAAGGGTAGGTCGCAATGTCGCCAATGGCAAACACGTCCTTCAGACCCTGGACCTCGAAAGCCTCGTTTGTCCTCAGTGATCCGTCCTTCTCCAACTGGACGCTCGAGTTCTCCTTGAGGTACTCTGTTGCAGGCTTGACGCCTACGCCCTCGATAACGAGGTCTGCCTCGAGCGTGGTGCCGTCCTTGAGATGCACAGTTCCGACCTTGGAGGGGTCACTCTTGGATGGTGTTGCCTTTTCGACGCTGGCGCCCATCTGGAACTTGACACCGTTCTTCTCGAGCAGGCCGCGGAAGATCTTTCCAACCTTCTTGCCCATGACACGCTCCATAGGCTCTTCCTCCATACCGACAACAGTCACGTCGTTCTTCATGCCGGCGAGGCAGTTGCCGACCTCCATGCCGATGAAAGAGCTGCCAATAACAACCACCTTCTTGCCGTTGTCGCCGACAGCCTTCAGGATGTTCTGCGCGTCCGGCAATGTGCGCAGCAAAAAAGTGTTGCCTAAGTCACCCTTGAGACCCGGCAGGGGCAAGACATTGGGTGTGCCACCGGTGGCCAGCACCAGCTTCGAGTACTCGTACGACTTGCCGGACTTTGTCTCGACCTTCTTGCCAGAGAAGTCGACACTCTTGGCCTCGTCCTCAACGAAGTCGATTGATGCGTCCTTGTAGAAGTCCTTCGATCTAAACGCAGCCTTGTTCAGGTCAGCGAGGAGAGCCTTGGACAGCTTCGTTCGGTCGATTGGCTGGTGGCCCTCCTTCGAGATGACGGTAATCTTGCCCTTGTATCCTCCGCCACGTAGGCCTTCGACAGCACCGAGCGTTCCGGAACCGCTGCAAGAGTAAGCGAGTGCTGATAGGAAGGGCAGGGAAGATATACCCTCCAATGACGAGGACCTTCTCATCGCTCACTGACGAGCACTTGAGGTTCAGTTTTCTTCTGGACGCCTTCAATGTGTCCTCATCCGTCTTGACATACACGGCTCCATCCCGTTCGAAGACTTCGTATTTGGAGATGGGGTCCAGAGCCGGGGCTTCCTCGACGTCACCTGTAGCGACATTGAAGCAGGCTGTGCTTGGTCAATGGCTGACAATGAAGGCCCTTTGGCGTTACATACCGCCGTGCCATGGGCAGGTCAAACGGCCCTCTGGCGTAAGCACACCCTTTACAAGCGGTGCGCCGTAATGTGTGCAGGTTGGTGAGGTAGCGTGGACTTTGTCCTGTACCTTTAGCAGCAACACCTTGCCGCCTTCGACGCCCTCAACCTCGACCTCTTTCTTGTCGCCGTTCTTCAATTGAAGGGACGTGATGTCCTTGAGCTTGAACTCCTGCGCCATGGTTCTGATAGTCGTGCTAAATGCAGCTCTGTGGGTATTAGTTGCAATGGATTGTGCCTTGTACTGGAGCTGTAGTGAAGTTCGACGAGGCCGTAGAAAACGTAGTGATTGCATTAGAGGGCCGATGACAAATGCTGGAGCTTTGTTCGGCGGTTTACAGTGCTGGAGCTTGCTGGCAAATCGCGGGGCTGCTGACCACGCTTATCTATTGCGATTTTGATTTGCTGATGTGACATCATGAAGTGTAGGCACGACCGCGTTGCCGGTAATCGATAACGCAGAGACGCGTCCAGCCGAATGACGTTCACGATCCTGATAACATCGAACATCGAGGTCCTCAATTACCTCGTCGTCATTCGATATTTGAGGTGTTCTGGTTCGTCTTGGCTATCAGTGGCAGCAGAGCGATTCCGGTGTTAGGAATCTTCGACCGGCGTGACAGCGGTGACAAACGGGTGACAGCCGGCGGTTCCAAGCACACCATGGCCCGTCAGTTGTTTCACGCTGTGTGTTGCGTGAATTGTAACTGATGAAACTAGACACAGCTTTCCCAAGCGATCTGCCTGTTCCTCAGGACGACGGCGCATGCTCACATCTGGATGGTTTGAAGCTACCGTCTATGTCCTTGTCGTCCACTTCTGGTGACCAAGTGGATGTCTCGAAGCTCTCTGGACTAGCTATCATCTTCTGCTACCCGCGTACGGGCGCTCCAGGCGAACAGATACCTGATGAATGGAACCTGATCCCAGGCGCACGAGGCTGCACGCCTCAAGCTTGCAGTTTTCGCGATGAAATGGGCGAGCTGCGCAAGCAAGGCGTGGATGCCATTTTTGGCGTCTCAACCCAGGATACCCCACATCAACAATAGGCCAAGACCCGCGTGCATCTTCCGTATGAGCTATTGTCAGACGTCGATCTTCAATTCACGGAAGCATTGCGGCTACCGACCTTCGAGTGGCAAGGCAAAAAGCTTATCAAAAGGCTTGCGCTCGCTGTCAGGGACGGCCAGGTTGTTCAGGTCTGGTATCCTGTCTTCCCTCCAGATGCGAACGCGAAGGAGGTGGTCGCGTGGCTGGCGAAGAAGAACTAGCGGCTACTTCTACCGAACCCACCTCCTGAAACCACTTCGAGGTATCAGGCACAAGGTTTAGCGCGTCTGACTCGATCGTTTCCAGACAACGCGACAATTGTGCGCGGTTACTTGTATCCGGAGTAGAATGTCAACCACTCGGATCGTCTCTACACGCGCATTTGTATTTCCGCATTCAAGCGCGCTCGCACTGCTAATGCGCAACATCATCGCCGTTGGCACCACCTCATTTCCCTCATGCTTTTTGACCTGAGGCCGCTGTCACTTGCCTCGTGGTCCATTTTGGTAGAAGGTTTGCCGCGATGCGACAATGGCGCAAGGCTAGCGCAACTTCAAACCACCAAATCCAGACGGATCTGCTTGCGGCTACTCTCAATAAAGTATCCGTTCGTTAGTCGACCGTACAATAATGTGGGAGACCCTCGGTTTGAACGCGATGTTGCGGCAAGGCAGTGTCTGCAGTGAGGACCTTTGTCGATCTCAAAACCGGATGCCTTCGGACATCTCATACTTTCATTAACAGACTTACAAGCGTTCGAAACGACATTCATATTCATGTAGGAACTCAGCATCAACACATGGAATTTCTCAGCTAACGCCTGCGACGTGTAGTACTCTCAAACCTATACGTTCTTTTCTTTACATTCTTTAATCATAATGTCTATCGCTCCAACTCGCGCTTTCTCCCTCGAGGTCGATACCGCAGCTCATACACCAACTGCGACCGCCTCAAATGCCTTCGCTACGGCCGTTCTTACTACATCTACATCTATATCTACAGCTCTTAGTAACGCATGTTCTACGAATAATGACTGTGCCGACGATGGTGTCTGCTCGAACGGTGTTTGCTCAAGTATCAATCAAGCGGCACCGTTCGCACCTGCTGGAAGCCTGGGCACAGAGTCGACAACACGTTTGGACACAGGAACAGCCACTGGTATTGGGGTGGGCATCGCAGCACTTGTGGTCTTAATGATAGGTGCTGGGTTCTGGTGGTTCAAGCTCAGAAGAGATCGACAGCAGCCCATTACATCACCAGAAGCACCTCCCACAACACGCGATCGGTCAGAGTCAACTGCGACCAAATGGACCATGGACAACGATCAAAGGACTCTGGTTGCCTCTATGCCAAGCAGTCCACAGCACGCTGCGTTCGCTAGGCAAACACCCGAACTACCTACAGAGTTCTACACGACGCCAGGAAAAGTCATCGATGCTGAGGGAAAGGGAAATAAGGAGATTGCGGCGTACAGGCAGCCCGGCTCAGGACATCAGCATGATCACTTACCAACAAGCCCTGCCGAAAAGGCTCTCCCACCTCCGCCATCAGAGGAGAAGCGCTACGCGATCAACGTCAACATCAACAAGAGCATGATTTTCGATGATATTATGTTCAACGCCGCAGCTTACGCTCAAAGTCCCATCTCGAAACCACAGGAGCGCGCCCCAAGATACCGTTTCGAAGAATATGTTCCTCCTGTCCTAGCGGGCAACCCTCGTATCTCTATTACGAAGACCGCGAGCCGAGCGAGCACGATGAGCTTCGAGTACGAGCTGGAGAATTACCCACATGGTAGCGGCTACATGCGTTCGAGCAGAAACTCCAGGCCCGACGCCGGTATTATGTACAGCGAGCCGCGAGGGCATGATCCTAGAGGCAACGCCTTATCAAAGTTAGAGGGCAGCCTCTCGTTACCAGAGCTTCCACCACCAAGCCCTAGTTTCAGCTTCCGTTCGTACGATTGGTACCAAGACATAATCGGCGGTGACCAATTTACTATTGAAGGGTCGAACGAGCTGCCGGCGCTCGAACTGCCAACAACCCCAAAACTACCAATCCGGAGTCCAGCAAGGGGTGTAAATCCTCTCCTCTCGAATCCTCCAGATTCAGATTTCCGCTTGGTGCCAGAACCACTTTTGCCAGCGCTCCCTTCGCCAGTTGCGAGCTCACACCTACATCCGAGCTCCGCCAGATTATCTTACTTACCGAGCCCAACAAATCCCAACTTTCGCTTATCACCAACTGTTTACCAGATGCCCAACTCCAACCGAGTGTCAAAACTAGTACCGAGTCTGCCCAGCACCCGGCCAGCGAGCGAGGCGTCCACAATAACTGCCATGACGGGAAGGTTTTCGCGACGATACTTGCGGTACGCCAGTTGGATGCCCGAAGACGACTTTGACATTCCCGAGGACGATCCGGCGCCTCCGCTACTCCCAAGATACAACTCCATGGTCGCGAGCATCGTGCCGGGCAGCGAAGCCACACAGACCGCACGCACAAGTGCACGCAACTCGGCTCGCAATTCGAGGAGTCAAAGTGCACCGCGACCGCAAAGCACACTGACGACAATGACCCAGAAGAGCCGCTTTTCGAGGAGTTGGCTGCCAGACGAGGGTCTGTACCTGCCGGAAGAGGGTACGGAGGACTCCTTTGAAGTGTTCAAGAGCGAGAGGTTGGCGAGTAGGCCGACGAGCTACTCTCCACTCGCCTAGGCTCGCCTGAATGCATGGCTCGATACGACTGAGACATTTACCTTCTTTGCTTACTATGCGACGTCTTTGAACGCGCTTGCCTTCGTTTGATCAGATAGCTAGCGTTCCGACTTACAGCCAATCGTTGTTTGTTTTCTTTGCGATATTTTATCGGCGTGAAGCCATGCCGGATGCGCCGGGCGTAAGAACGCAAGTGTGGAGATGCAGATGTGGGGATTGCGGGAGGTTGGAGAGCACAAAGCTTGTCCGGTCCCCGAGGCGGTTGATGGATCGACAAGGCGATGGCGGTGGTGGATTTCCATACTTGAGCCTAATGCCTCTTGTATTTGTAGCACTGATTGACACACCCGTGATAGTCAGTGAAAACAATGCAAGCATTACAATCACCATGATCCTAGTCTGCACCCCGAGAAAACGACTTTACACCATGCACCTAAGCCCTTCCAGTCGTAGCGAATACTGACCTCGCAAGCTTTCTCGGAAGCAAGGCGGAGATGCAAAGCTTGCTGACTTGGCCATTGTGGGGTATACCGTATATGGGATCTGCATTGCTCCACCTGGACTACCTGCAGCTCAAGTACGTTGAGATGCGACGGCAACATCGTGGAAATCAAGCTCTCACGGTACGAGTCTTGTATGGCCAAGCTGTCAACCCGCGTCTTTTCTAAACTTCTAGCGCGCAGAGCTGCCGTAGCGATGTCCACTGCTCGGCCTCCGTCGCAGTCGCCGATTGGTCAGTTGTCGGCGCGAAGGTGACGCTTGGACTCGAGCATGTAGACTGGACATCACTCCTGCCGAGACTTGTGCATCATTGCAGCTCTTCCCTGCGAACATCGTCATATCCTTGCAGCAGACTGCGGGGAAGTGCATGATGGTCAATAAGCAGCACACAACCGTCAAGATGGGACAGAGGTATAACCTGCGTTGTCCCACGCTGTCATGGAAGAGAGCAGTTGCAGCCACGAGCCTGGGTCTTCTCTCTCTTTACTATCTCCATCGCACCTTCCAGAAGTCACCGTCTGCGGCTGAACTTCACCAAGGCGCAGAAATGGCTCCCTCAAGCTTTCTTCAAGCTTCAGCTCTGTTGACGTCGCTTGTGGCGTTGACGGCTGCGCAGAACTCAACGGCAACGCCAACTTCAGCTAGTGGCTGGAGCACGACGCTTGCTGGCACTCCCACGTTTTTCCAGCCTGTGTTCACCATTCCTGCATCTGCAGACCAAGGAGCAGAGCTCATTGCCAACATTCAAGATCCTCAGGCTGTCAATGCTCAGGATGTCTGCCCGGGATACAAGACCTCGCACTTGCAAGAGACCGATGGCGGCATCAGCGCTGTGTTGACCTTGGCGGGCGCGCCTTGCAATGTCTACGGCAATGATGTTGATGTGCTCAACCTCAAGGTTGAGTACCAGTCCAAGGACCGCTTGGCGGTCAATATCAGTCCAACATACCTTGTACGTTCCGTGTTGACAGTCTGAAAAGCCTCAAAAGCTGACAAACACAGGATGCATCGAACTCTTCACATTACATTGTTCCCGAGAGCTTGATTCCCAGACCTCAGGCTGAGGATTCACATAAGGATCTCGACCTTGCATTTGCTTGGGGTGATGACCCGTCGTTTTGGTTTACCGTGACCCGTCAGTCCAGTGGCGATGTCATCTTCACCACCAAAGGCACCCACCTGGTGTATGAGGACCAGTTCATCGAATTTGTAAACACGCTTCCGGAGGATTACAACCTCTACGGCCTCGGTGAACGCATCCACGGACTCCGTCTGAACAATAACTTCACTGCGACCATCTACGCTGCAGACGTGGGTGACCCAATCGATCGCAACATCTACGGAAGCCACCCGTTCTACTTGGAGACTCGCTACTTTCCGACCGGCGGCAATGGCACCAAGAAGCCGCTCAAGCAATCCGAACTCAACGACGGAAACGGTGGATACCCCACCGGTGGCAAGGGTTCCGGCTTTGAATCTTATTCTCACGGTGTCTACCTCCGCAACTTGCACGGCATGGACATTGTTCTCAAGCCTACCAATCTAACCTGGAGGAGCCTAGGAGGCAGCATCGACCTCTTCTTCTTTGACGGTCCTACTCAGCCCGAGGTCACCAAGCAGTACCAGACTTCTGCCATTGGTTTGCCCGCCATGCAGCAATACTGGACCTTTGGCTACCACCAATGTCGATGGGGGTACAGCAACTGGACTGAGCTCCGGGAGGTTGTCGAAACACTCCGGAACTTCAGCATCCCCATGGAGACTATCTGGCTCGATATCGACTACATGGACCAGTACCGCGATTTCACTCTGGATCCCATCACATTCCCTGCTTCTGGAGTCAAGGATTTCTTTAACTTCCTACACGGCAACAATCAGCACTTTGTGCCCATTGTCGATGCTGCTATCTATATTCCCAACCCGACCAACGCCAGTGATGCGTATGACCCTTACACTCGTGGTAATGACTCGGATGTGTTCCTCAGGAACCCTGATGGCAGCCAGTATATTGGTGCTGTGTGGCCTGGTTACACTGTATTTCCCGACTGGCTGTCCGCGAACGGTGTTTCCTGGTGGGTCAAGGAGATGGTTGAATGGCATAAGAGGTAAGCAGCTGTGTTCCACTGTCTCAATCTCGATGTGCCCTGCTAATGCAAGAATTCAGCGTTCCATTTTCCGGCTTCTGGACAGACATGACCGAGGTTTCGTCTTTCTGTATTGGCTCATGCGGTACTGGAAATGTCACGCTAAACCCTGTTCACCCACCTTTCTCGTTGCCAGGCGAGGTCGGCAATGTCATCTACGACTACCCGGAGGGTTTCAACATCACAAACGCGACTGAAGCTGCATCAGCCTCTATCCTTTCTGCCAGCCAGGTGGCCGCTGCATCTGCTACCACGGTCAGCTCCGTCTCTGCTGAGTACCTCCGTACTGTGCCCACACCTGGTAAGTATCCTACAATGCTTGAGCAAAGGCAACTTGCTGACTATTCCAGGTGTCAGGAATATCAATCATCCACCTTATGTCATCGATCATGTTCAGGGCGATCTTGCTGTTCACGCTGTCAGCCCTAACGCGACTCACCAGAACGGCGTCGCTGAGTACGACGTCCACAATATCTGGGGCCACCAGATCATCAATGCTACTTATCAAGGTCTTCTCTCTGTCTTCCCCGGCAAGCGTCCTTTCATCATTGGCCGCTCCACCTTCGCTGGTAGCGGCAAGTGGGCTGGTCACTGGGGAGGTGACAACGCGTCGAAGTGGTACTACATGTACTTCTCGATCCCGCAGGCGCTCTCTTTCTCGCTATTCGGTATTCCCATGTTCGGTGTCGACACTTGGTAGGTATTCTACAATGTCTGCGCAGAAGATTTTTGCTAACAATGTCACAGCGGCTTCAACGGAAACACCGACTCAGAGTTGTGCGCGCGCTGGATGCAGCTCTCAGCCTTCTTCCCCTTCTACCGCAACCACAATGTCCTGTCTGCATTGCCTCAGGAGCCCTACCGCTGGGACAGTGTGGCTTCTGCTTCGCGCACTGCGATGCATATCCGTTACTCCCTCTTGCCGTACATGTACACCCTCTTCCACGAGGCTCACACCACTGGCTCCACAGTCATGCGTGCTTTGGCGTGGGAGTTCCCCAACGAGCCCCAGCTTGCTGGTGTCGACACCCAGTTCTTACTCGGCCCCAACATTCTCGTCACGCCTGTTCTGGAGCCTCAGGCGGACACTGTCCGCGGTGTCTTCCCTGGTCTCGTCGATGGCGGGTCGTGGTATGATTGGTACACTGGCGAGAAGGTGCAGGCTGAGGCTGGCGTCAACACCACCATCTCTGCGCCTCTCGGCCACATCCCCGTCTACATCCGTGGCGGAGCGGTGCTCCCAACCCAGGAGCCTGGCTATACTACGACCGAGTCGCGCAATAACCCCTGGGGTCTCATCGTTGCTCTTTCCGATGATGGCAATGCATCAGGCTCTCTCTACATCGACGATGGCGAGTCCATCGAGCAGGAGACCACTCTGGAGATCTGTCTCACTGCTCGAGGCGGCTCGTTGAAGGCTGATGTTCAGGGCGACTTCAAGGACACTAATGCCTTGGGTAATGTCACCATCCTGGGTGTCCACAGCGCCCCTACTCAGATCAAGTTGAACGACCTGGCCGTTGATTCGTCAAAGGTCGCGTACAACGCGACAGCGAGCACTCTGAAGCTGTCTGGCTTGAATGACCTGACCAGCGGCGGTGCGTGGCAGGGCAGCTGGACATTGAGCTGGGCTTAGCCTTGAAATGTGAGAAAAATAAAGGGCCAGGTATAATAGTTAGGAAACACTAAGTTACTGGAATACGATATTAGTTGAACACGAAGTAAACTAAGCGTCTCCTCGTATGCATCACAGCTTGAATCCTCGACAATGTTTGTAAACAACAACAATTAATTGATGTATGAATGATGCTGCAGCGCGTCTGTCCCACCCCGTTTCAAGTTTTGTTCGTGAGTAGCCCGTCACGCGCGAACGGGTGACGTCAGCGTGCTTGCACCTCAACTCCGCATCAAAACTACTCTCCTTTCAATATCGCCATGGCATAATCAAATATCGTCTCTGGCTTGTCTCTAGACTCCAGAAAGCCCACAAGCCCACCCATAACCTGCCAACCGACACATTGCCCACCATGGCAGACACCGACCCCAAGCAAGAGCCCTCGGTCGCAGAGCTCAAAGAAATCGCCCAGAATGCAGACGCCCCCGAAGATAAACTCCAGGCCGCCGCCGCACAAGCCGAAGCCGCCCTGTCCAGCTACAAAACCGCGTCCTCCCTCCGCGAAGCCGCAGATGCCATCCGCGACCCCGCCAAGCGCGAGAAATACCTCCGCGACGCGTACAACAAGGAAATCGAGGCCCACGGCAACAGCAAAAAGGCGCGTATGCTGCAGTCCGGGGCGTTCCAGGGGACGGTTGGCGGCGCGGGTATTGGTGCTGTTGTTGCGGGCGGCTTGGGTACGGTGGTTGGAACGGTTGTTGGGACGGTGACGGCGGTCCCTGCAACGGCGGTTGGGGGGCTGGTGGGTGCGGGCGTTGGGCTGGGGCATGGAAGTTGGATCAAGTTGGGGAAGTTGGGGGAGGGGAAGCATGGGAAGAAGTGCGAGGAGAAGGCTGAGGCTGGAGATGAGAATAAGGAGAATGAGGGCGGTGAAGCGCAGCATGAGAAGAAGGTTGATGTCGACGACGCTGTGCCAAATCCAGATATGCTGAGGCAGGCTGCTGAGGATATCAAGAAGGAAAGAGAGAAGGGGAACTTGGATCCAGAAGGGACTGGTGATGCTGAGATGAAAGAGCGGGGGAAGCCCAGGAAGCTGAGTAGGCAGGCCAGCGAGGCAGGGAAAGAAGAACAGACGGAATCACCGAAGTCAGAGAAGAAGAAGCCGCGGAAGATCGAAGTACGAAGCAAGCCGGAGGCTGCGGCGGCATAAGAGCGTCGGCGCATTTCCTTGTACGTCTTTCACATCCTGCATATAGCGTTGCATTGTATCCATGATCCTTCCTATGTTCAATCTATTTTACCCCTGCGTACAGCATTACAACAATATAATAGCAAAAGCTAGAAAGCAAAACTCTCAGACATGTTATGTAACCACGTGGCTTCGATCACATGATGTCCTATTGTAGCAGGTACTGCCCGGTGGGCAAGTGCGCTTACCTCAGAGCTGAGAGCTCCTGTAACATAACATCACAACACACAACACAACAACAGATAGCAATACACTTGTTGATCACAGTCCCCAACTAACACTCCTTACGCAGTTACAGTTATGAGCCTGGCTGTCGACTATACACGCTGTATTCGCTACTGCATGCTGACGAGCTATTAACTGCTGTCAACAGAGTTACGTCATTGTCCTGCTACCTTACTTTTCTAAGAGCCTTAAGCGCACTGTCCTGTACAAGAGTTAACATCTAAGAACTAATAGAGCCTAATTTAGGATAACGTACCCCACGGGCGAGTCGGACACACGGGCGAGTCAGACACTTTTGCCAAGACCCTACCAAAACACCCTTATTACACCAATGCCTCTCCACAAACGCTAGTTAGACGCGTTAAAAGAAGCTTAGATACAGCTTGCGCTTCAAGCTCTTAAACAAGACGCGACTCTCTCTCTACAGCGCGCTGCAGCTATCTATAGAGCTCCCCTACAGACACTAAGCGACTAACGCGCTGGACGACCTTCACAAGTTAATTCTATGCCTAAATTACAGAGCCTAACCAATATTAAGGAGCAGGTGATTGTTAATTATATACTTAAGCTAGACGCGCGAGGATTTTCCCCTCAGCTAGCAGCTGTGGCTGATATGGCCAATTCTTTGCGCGCTGAGCGCAGTCTAGGCCATGTTGGCCTAAACTAGCCTAGTACGTTTGTTAAGCGCCAACCAGAGCTCAAAGTAAAGTTTAATCGCAAGTATGACTATACAAGAGAGCCCTCTGCAAGGATCCTAAGATAATCTAGGGCTAGTTTAGCCTAGTAGCTAATATTAAAGCTAAGTATAGCATCTAGGATAACAACACGTACAACTTTAATAAGACAGGCTTTATAATAGGCTAGATATCTACTAGAGCAGTTGTTACAGCTTTAGAAAGACAACAACAGCTAAAGCAGGTCTAGCTAGGCAATTAGGAGTAGATAATAGTTATTAAGGGCATTAATGCTAACGTAAACCCCCAGCACCCGGGCCAACCCAGCACCCGGGCCAAAAAAGCTTGGCAGTACCAACTCACGTTACAACTCTTCAATTTCATTACTATTTAACATAGAGCCTGCGTACGCTGTGCTTGTATCTAATTTAGAATATGCCTCTATATCTTTTTTACATGTTCGCGCGTTGTGTCTAGTCTAGGCTGGCGGAATGGGTATACTCCAACGTCCTTCGTGGGTACCCCCCAAAACTTTGTCAATAATACATGGATTCTAGCGAACTAGGGCTTAAAAGAAAGAGAAAAACTACCTCTATATTTCTGTAGTAGAGGGTTTTGTTATAATTATTAAACTGCATAAGCTAGAGGCTAGAAAAGGTTAAAAAAGGGGGGGTACCTAGCAAGCATACCTATTAATAGGTATACTTTGCTAGGTAGTGTTAATAACTTAGCTAATACTATGCAGAATAAGCTAATTCTTTTTTTATTAGAAGGCGCAATACTAGGCGCTTCTATTAAATAATAGATTATGTAAGCGTATCTCTGCTAGTTAAGAAGCTATAAGCCAAAACGTAAAAAAGCATACCCTACCCATCCGCCAGCCTAGTCTAGTCCCTCTACAGTTTCTACAGCGCTGTAGAGCTGGTTAAGCTTGTTCTTAATCACCACTACCATAAGCCTTCTTTGACCGCTCAGCAGCTACAGAGGCCTCTGCAGCCACCTGAGCTGCTGCCTCACCATACTCTATAGTACTACCTTGCTAGATCTGCTTCCTTTTGCGCGATTTCCGCTTAGTTATTACTGCTAATTGCTCTTCAAGCTTAGTAATCTAGGCTGCTTAAAGCGCGTTCTAATACAGCATAAGCTTGCCACCTCTAACAAGCTAAGAGAAGCCTGCTTACGCAGTAATAGGTAACTAAGTAAAAGACTTGCGTACAAGCTTTAACTAAGATCTAAACTTGTAGGTATTGCTTAGAGTCTTTAACTACTACAGCGTCTCTAGGAGGAGGGGTTCTAGCAGGGTACGCAGGCGCACTTTAAGGCAATCTAACATAACCTACGTGTTAAGAGGGACTAGCCCTGCTGCCTTAAAGGCCTTATAACAGTTCTCTACTATAAACATATTAAAAAACACGTCCTTAAAGGCAGGGAGGAAGCCTTCTTTATTAATATAGAAGACGCACTTGCGTGCTAAGTCTTGTACGCGCTAAGAGTACTTGTGCTTTAATAGTAAGAAGTAGACTATATTAAGTAGCTAGAGGATATATAATAAGTAAGGTAGCATACAGAGGGTAAGGATTATGTTTTTAAGGTAGTAGTCCTTAAAATCCTAGTTAAGGTAGCTCTTATAGCTGTCTAAAATAAGCAGCCTGTACGCCCCCACCTGGCTTGCCTTTGTATGCGCGTCGAAGTGCTTCAGCCACTCAAGGCTGAGCGCGTTGTTTGTCCAGCCGCTCTCAGAGACAGAGAGCTTCCAATTGCGTGGTATATCTGCCTCCTTGTACTAGGCAGAGATGTGAACGCGTCCTTTGTAGATAATAAAAGGTAGGGTACAAGATCTAGCAGCGCAGACGCTCTAGATAACTGTTACCTACTTATAATTACCTGGCTGAACAAGCTAAGGTTAATTACGTCTCTCTACGCCTATAACAACCTTTATTAAGCTAATAACACCTATCTAGAAGCTAGTCTTATTAAAGTTGTGCATGTTGTGGTTGTGTACGCTGTATTTAGCTTTTGTGTCCTCTACTAGCTTAAACCACGCGCTAATTGTCTCTAGATCCTCCTGCAGCATCCTCTGCCTATCTTTAGCTTGATTAAAGGCCATCTTAAGCGTAGCTAAACGCGTCACGAAGCGCTCAGCCTAGTGCTTGCCAACAGGCTGCCCACCGCGTACACCCAACAGTTTGTCGGCCATATCTGCCACCTCGCACAGCTAGGGCGCAAATCCTCGCAAATTAAGGTCAAGAATATATTGTACAATTGTTTGCTCTTTAGTGCGCGTAAGCTTATGTTGTGCGTTGCGTCTATTATTAATATAGAGTCTGCCTCTATACCTAGCACTTAAGGTTGTACGCAGTAGGCTGGCGGATGGGTAGGGTATGCTTTTTTACGTTTTGGCTTATAGCTTCTTAACTAGCAGAGATACGCTTACATAATCTATTATTTGATAGAAGCGCCTAGTATTGCGCCTTCTAATAAAAAAAGAATTAGCTTATTCCACCTAGTATTAGCTAAGTTATTAACACTACCTAGCAAAGTATACCTATTAATAGGTATGCTTGCTAGGTCCCCCCCCTTTTTTAACCTTTTCTAGCCTCTAGCTTGTGCAGTTTAATAGTTATAACAAAACCCTCTACTACAGAAATGTAGAGGTAGTTTTTCTCTTTCTTTTAAGCCCTATTTTGCTAGAATCCATGTATTATTGACAAAGTTTTGGGGGGTACCCACAAAGGACGTTAGAGTATACCCATTCCGCCAGCCTAGTACGCAGTACGTTAAATGCCTAAGCAGCGCTTTAGAGGCTTTTAAATTTATATAACCTAAACTATCACCAAGTGTCCCACATCGCCGAGTGTCCCAAAATCTCTTGGCAGCCTCAACCTATGCTACAACTCCTCAATTTCATTGCTATTAAACAGGGAGCCTGCGTACGTTGTACTAGC